TCTTTCATTCTTACAGCCTTTAAATATTACATTCTTTAAATAATTAAGTGCAATTGTATTTTAATAGAACGTAGGCAATGAGTAAGCCTATGAAGGATAAATTATTTACCTCTCAAGTTAATGTACTCAGCAGGTAGTTATTGGACACATACTCTGCACCGGGCACTGTTTTAGTCACAGGAGAAACACTCTATTTGGGATCCTTTCTTGTTTCTTTTCATAGGAAATCTTTTAAAATAATACCTACGTTTGTGTTTTTTTGGTGTGTGTCTTTTTAAAGATGAATTTTAGCCCTGGCTGGTGTGGCTCAGTTGGTTGAGTGCTGTCCCAGGCCCCGAAAGGTCTTTGGTTCCATTCACAGTCAGGGCACATACCCAGGTTATGGATTTGATCCCTGGTTAGGATGTGTACGGATACAGCTGATCAGTACTTCTCAAATCGATGTTTTTGTGTGTGTGTCTCTCTCTCTCTCTCTCTCTCTCTCTCTCTCTCTCTCTCTCTCTCTCTTTCTCTCTCTCCCTCTCTCCCTCTCTCCCTCTCTCCCTCTCTCCCCCCCCCTCCAGTCCCCTTTCCTCTCTCTAAAAAATTTCAATAAAAACTCATTTTTTTTTTTAAAAAAAAGACGGCCTTTAGTAAAAAAAACAAGAACACTAAGTCTGATGTCTGTCTATCCTGAAAAATCGCAAGATTCACCAGGTAGGTTTGTGAAGACCCTACTCTCTGAATCAGTGCGAAAGTTAACAGAATATGTTGGAGAAGCTTAAAGTTTGACAGCAGCTCACCTGGAGGTTAACTGATAATTGTTCAACATAAGGTGGATGTGAAGATCAGCTCACTGATTAATTAATTGGCACTTACACACTGCGAACCAACTATGCAACCTCAGCGTGAGCTGAGCCTCCCTTGATTTCTGTTGCAGGCCAGGCAAACTACCCAAGTTCTTACAAAGGAAACCTTGAAACTCCACCTTCTGCCTCCCTTCCTCTCTGTCCCCCTGAGCACAAGTCTCCCTTCAGTGACTGCTCAGTAGAGCCAAGGTTAATGGGAGGTGGAAGTGCTGAGGGAATCCTACCCAGGTGAGTGCTGTACTGGACTTCATAAATGGATAAAATATTTTATTTGTAAGGACTTTGCTAAAGAGCTTTTAATGAAGTTAATTTTAAGGGCTTTTGCAAAACCACAAATATTTTCAAACCCAGCTAATTCAACTTCATTTTATAGACCATCTATTTCAGTCGCCATGCGGTTTACCTGCTATGTCAGAGCAGAACTATTTCACCCCACGTAACTTGAATTTTTGTCTTGTCACCACACTTTTTTTTTTTTTTTTAATTTGAAAACTACACCAAACCCCCTTGGGTTAAGTTCAAGACACACTTTTCTTAGATTTATGTCAAGTGAATAATTCTTTAGCCAAGTTTTATGTTAGAAGAGTGAAATATTGTTTTATGTGACTGTCAGAAGTTTGGTTCCAAAAAGACAGTTCACATTGGTATGTTTTAAACACAAGTAAGGCAAATGTTACATCCAACTGATGTAGACCATGAACCACTTTCCTCATCCAAAATAATTGGTATCCATGGGAACATTCTGAACCGGTCAACTGACCACATTAGCTCATCTCACATGAGTTAATACAAAATGAGGTTTTGGGTGCTTTTGGTTAGTTAATTGAAATGATGCAAGTTCTTTTGAACTTACCACTAGTATTTATTTCCCTAGATTTAGTGTGTAAATGGTTTTGTTTTTTTAAAAGAAGAAAGAATAAGCTTTTGCTTGCTTTTTCCCTCCCACTTCTCATTATGTATTGTTTCTTACTAAGGCCCCAGACTATGTTGTGTATCTCTGGCTGGCTTTAGGGTTTTTTCCTTTTCTCCGCTGGCTTTCTGCTATTTGAATGGCGGCATAATAAAATACTGGTAGTTTTCTTAGAGTTCTGCTTGGAGTTTGTTGAGCTTCTTGGATCTGTGAGCTTAATGGTTTTCTTTAAATTGGGAAATTATTCAGCCCTTATTGCTTCAAAGATTATTTTTTTCTATTCCTTCCTTTTCTTGTTTTAGACTCCAGTAACATACATTGCACTGCTTAATATGGCCCCATAGATTACTGTTGCTCTGTACTTTTCCATCTTAATCTTATCTGATTTGTTTTAGATAGTTTCTGTTGCTAGTCTTCAAGTTTATTGGTCTTTTTTCCTGCTGTGTCTAATCTGTTTTAATTCCATACAGCGTGTTTTTTTATTTCAGGTATATTTTTCATGTCTATAGTTTCCATTTGAGTGATTCCTGGTATATTTCTATGTTTTTTTCTCCTGGTTTGGGCCATATCTTCCTGTTTCTTTGGTAATTTTTGATAGGCTGTCAGACTTCGTGATTTTAATTTATAGGGCGCTAGCCTTTTCTTTTTTTAAATTCCTTTAAGTAATGTTGGTCTTTGTTCTGACATGTAATTAAGTTACTAAGTTACTTCAATGGAATGTAAACTAATATTTCCAACAAGGGTGAATACCATCTTGACTGAGTTAAGTAAATCCTAAGAAAGTTTTAAATATATAGCCTCACCTTTGTGTAATGCCTGCCCTAAAGTACCACATGGCAGAGTTTCCTACCTCCTACCTCCTACCTCCTTTTCTGTGGTGCATAATAAATAAGGAAGGATGAAATGTATTATACTTTATCTATTTTAATGTATTTTTATTACTGCATTCATTGTCACTTCCATGCACTTCTTTTTTTTAACTTTGCACCAAATTTATTTTGTTCCTATTAAATATCATTTCTTTGAAAATAAAAGGAAAGATCTAAAATTTTATTAAATTAAAAAATGTTTATTGAATTTATTGGGATGACACTGATTAATACAAATATATAGGTTTCAGTGTACAATCCTGTAATACATTGCCTCTATCTTATTATGTGTTCACTGTCTCAAGTCCCCTTCCATCCCCACTGACCCCCTCTCCCCCTTTTCTTCTAATCATCACCAGCCTGGTCTCCGTGTCTGAGTTTATTATTTTTGCTTAATCCCTTCACCTTTTTCACCCCTCCCCTGCCTCCTTCCTCTTTGATAGCTGTCAGCCTGTTCTCTGTATCTATGAGTCTGTTTCTTTTTTTTCTTCTTTTTTTTCTTTTTACCTTTCCCCCCCTCACGAGAGGATATGTTTATTGATTTTAGAGAGAGAGGAACGGGGCGGGGGGTGAGAGAAGGAGAGAGAGGAAAATCAGTGTGAGAGAGAAACATCTGTCAATTGCCTCTTGCACATGATGTAGCTGGGGATCGAATGCAACCTTTTGGTGCATGGGCTGACCCTTCCACCCACTGACCTCCCAGCCAGGCTGCAGACTCTCTTCATGTTAAGCAGATGCTTGAAGAACTTGGTTCTCTCAGGGGTGGTGAGTGAGGGCAGTGATTTCTAAGGCCTGTAATATGAGTGGTATCAATCAGTTAGTGAAGCCTCATCTATTATTACTCCTGTAATTAAGCGTGCATTATTGGATTTAGTCCTTTCTGGTCTGGAGTCTAAGTATTTATTCTTATTTTGTAAATGTGCAACATGGAGATTTTAAATAATTTGACCAAAGCCCACACAGCTAGTAAGCCAGACAGGCAGGGTTTGACCTAAGTCCCTCACACCACAAAGTCTTTGCTATTAATCATTCCAAAACCTGTGCTGGTAACCAACGGGGAGGAAGTTAGCGGCCTTGGTATTTAGGATAGATGTCCTTGCACCAGCTGAGCCTGCTGTTGTGGTGAGTGTAGAAGCCATGGAAATAGGGAATTTCAAGGTAATCTGTATTATATTGTCTCTTGTGTGTCTTAAATAGTAAGTTAGCCTGGGGGAGTAGATGCATTTAACTTATTTCTAATTTTTCTCATAGTTTAGTTTGCTTTAGTTAGCTTTCAGGGTATTTCACTTGTATGTCTTATTGTAGATGTACATATGAGTGGTATGAATACTAAAGTGTTTAGAGCGATCTAACCTGATTAAAAATCATGTTTTGACCCATGAATGGGATTCTTTACAGATTTCAGTACCATAAGTTTGTATAATTCTGCAGCATTTTTATTGTTGAAAGATAATTTATTTTCTGAAGTTTTGTCAGTCCAGTTCAATAATAATGGTATCATACACTTTAGAGTTGTTTTTTTAAATTTTTTTTCCTCATGATTTTGATATAGATTTGATTTTATATAAACTGCCAGGAAAAGAAAAACACTGGATATCTTGGATAGTTGAAAGTTTTGGTTTCAAAATATAAAACATTTTATAAAGAAGATTCAGAGTGGTGTAGACTGATGATACTATATTTGAAAGGAACTTGATGACTGATTCCTTGTAGTTTGCTGTTTGGAAATTGTATTTGTTCTCAGCTTATGTCATTCCGTTTTATTTTGTTAGCTTTGGAAAAATAGAACTCTAGTATTATTTGAGAAATTGACTGGGACATAGGATTGGCAGGAAGTGTTTGCAGAGAATAAGTTCATGGGGACTTCCATTTGAAGGTGAAGACAAACTAATGCCTTCTTCCTTTTCCACAGCATCCTCCCCCCAACCCCGCACCTGCCTGGCACAGCAGTGCACGTGGGGGCGTAGTGCTGCGTTTGCGATCAGTGCTGTGTCTGCCTAGGCTGCCCGTGTGCGTGTGTGTGTGTGTGTGTGTGTGTGTGTGTTTCACAAGAGGCTCTGCCTTGGGGCCCTGTGCTCTTTGTTCTGTGCTGTTCTTCCTGAGTCTGTAAGTTTTAGCTTTAAACTTTATTTGTGTTAGAAAGAGTTCTACAAACAACAGAAACGGCACATGGCTCCCGCCCATGTGGTCAGGCGGTGAGTGCAGAGATCTGTGAGCTTCCGAGGCCGTAAGACCAGGGCGGAGGCCACCCCCGGCGCCGGGACCCTGAAGGAGGCCTGAGCCGTCTCCCCGATTGTCCTCACAGGCCGCAGTGCGCCCCGGGCGCCCAGACCCTGAAGGAGGCCTGAGCCCTCTCCCCGATTGTCCTCACAGGCCGCAGTGCGCCCCGGAGTCTGACGTGGAGGAGCTCTCCGAGGAGGCCGACCCCGAGACCCTGGACGGCGCCTCTCCCCCCAGCACGCCCCGGCAGATGAAGCGCCTGTCCGCCAAGCACCAGAGGAACAACGGAGGGAGGCCTGTCAGCCGCTCCAGTTTGAAAGGTAAGCCTTGGTCCTTCTGGGACATAAACAGCCTTTTTTATTTTGTTTATTTTCTTTATTGATTAAGATATTACACATGTGTAGATGACCTGCTTAGTCCTCACCTGCGGAGATGTTTTTATTGATTTTAGAGAGGGGGGAGAGAAACATTGATGACAGAGAAACATCCATTGGTTGTCTCCCATATGCGCCCTGACCATTAGCTGCCTTGTTGTTAAGGGAGAAACTAAGTCTCCTGAGACTAAAGGTTTTCCTGAGTAATTGGTGAAGTCACTTGTGTTTTTTGAGGAGGAGGCCAAGCCTGGATGGATCCACATACTCGTGCAGGGTGGCCTGGACCTCACAGGCTGAAGGACCCGGGTTCTGTGTTGCAGGCATGACAGGTGTAGTGGGCCATCGGGAGGGACAGAGCCAGGCTTTCTCCCCCAGGATTCCTGGCCGCCAGCGCAGCGCCCGGCAGGTACCCCACACCGTACCATGGACAGATTCTGTGCCCTGCCTTCCTCCGAGAAGCCGGGTGTTCTCCGTTTTCATTTCTTCCTCCCCCGGCCTTCTTTCCTGGGGTAGATGATCAGGTCATGCCGGCCTGCTGCTCCCTGAGCCCCACTTCTCACACGGAGCCTCGGTCACTGCAGCCTGGGACGTTAGAATTTCCCAGCTCATTCCAGCGAACACTGGTCCCAAAACGGACTGTGTAGCCTCCTGGAATTCACCCACCTGTTCCTGCACAAGACGGATTTCATTTTCTGTCTCTTCTGAGAAGTTTGCCCATCGTATGTTCTCCCTGCTGGGACCAGACCCATTGCCATTGCTCTTCCTTCAGTGCTCTTCCTCTCTCCTCGCCAGACGCCCCTCTCGCAGTCTGCCACCCAGCCCCCTCCCAGGAGGGCACTTCCCCTCGTTGATAATAGAGAGAAAGAAGGAGGGCGAGAGAAATGGACTTCATTGTATTGATTTGCTTGAATAAATCATATCCAAGGAGGAATTCCTAAGTGTAACTTGTCTTTCCCTTAGGGAAGGTGATTTTTTACTTTCTTTAAAACTTTATTTGCCATAGGGTGTTAAACTGTCCTTATTTCCTTTGGAAATGAATAGCTTTCTATTGCAGTTTCTAATTTTTAAAATTAATCTTTATTCATTTTCTCAAAAGAAAATTTTCAAATGCCTAGAGAAATTCCTTAACTCAAATAGTGTCATAGAAGCAGCATTTAATGAATCAGAATTAATACATATTTGCTTTGCACTGGTAAAGTGAGAAGATGGCAATAGCACATCTTTTTCTTCATGCGTTGGTTCATGCTATTTTATTTTATTTATTTATTTATTTATTTATTTATTTATTTATTTATTTTTAAATATTTTATTGATTTTTCACAGAGAGGAAGAGAGAGGGATAGAGAGTTAGAAGCATCGATGAGAGAGAATCATTGATCAGCTGCCTCTTGCACACCCCCTACTGGAGATGTGCCCGCAACCAAGGTACATGCCCTTGCCTGGAATCGAACCTGGGACCTTTCAGTCCGCAGGCCGACGCTCTATCCACTGAGCCAAACCAGTCCCAGCGGTTCATGCTCTTTTAGAATAGGAGTTGTGAGCACAGTTTCCCCATTTCATAGATTGAGAAACTGAGAGAAATGTGATATATATTTTGATTCTTTTAATTTTCAGCATATGGTGTGATTTTTTTCTCTAATAACAGCCTGAAAATATAAGTGCACTGAAGAGCAGTTTTACTGAAAGTATTAAGAGTAGCTTCATATGTAGAATAATACAATGTTGTTTATTTTTTAATAGAAAAAACAAATGCATTGAACCAGCCTCCACATAAAGACACTGGAAAAATCGAAGAAAAAAAGATCCGAGCGGCAATTAGGACGACAGAGCGCGATCATAAGAAAAATGTGCAGTGCTCCTTCATGTTGGACTCAGTGAGTGGGTCTTTGCCCAAAAAACCGATTCCAGATGTGGATCTCAATAAGCCTTACCTCAGTCTCGGCTGCAGCAACGCCAAGCTTCCGGTGTCTGTGCCCATGCCTATCGCGAGAACTGCACGCCAGACTTCCAGGACAGACTGTCCAGCAGATCGCTTGAAGTTTTTCGAAACTTTACGACTTCTGCTAAAGCTTACCTCAGTCTCAAAGAAGAAGGACAGGGAGCAAAGAGGACAGGAAAACACATCTGCTTTCTCATTCAACCGATCGAACGAGCTCCTCTGGCTAGAGCTGCAAGCCTGGCATGCGGGGCGGACCGTTAGCGACCAGGACCTCTTCCTATACACAGCCCGCCAGGCCATACCGGACATCATCAACGAGATCCTTGCTTTCACAGTCAGTCACGGGAGCGCTGCCTTTGCTGGAAACGGGGCTAGTCTCAATGGCGCCCCGGGAGAAGGGCCGTGCGGAGCCCCTCACGGCGTGCGGATTGTGGGTTATCCCACGTACCACGAGCATCTCCAGCGCCAGAGGGTGTCGTTTGAGCAGGTGAAGCGGATAATGGAGCTGCTGGAGTACATAGAAGCACTTTATCCATCGTTGCAGGCTCTTCAGAAGGACTATGAGAAGTACGCTGCCAGGGACTTCCAGGACAGAGTGCAGGCACTCTGCTTGTGGCTAAACATCACGAAAGACTTAAATCAGAAGCTACGGATTATGGGCACTGTGTTGGGCATCCAGAACTTATCAGACATTGGCTGGCCAGTGTTTGAAATCTCTTCCCCGAGATCGTCCAAAGGCAATGAGCCAGAAGAAGAGGGCGAGGACACCGAAGGAGAACTGAAGGAGCTGGAAAGTAGCTCGGATGAGAGTGAAGAACAGACCTCTACTCCGAGGGCGCCAGCGACCCGGCAGCCCATCGCCAGCACCTTCAGCTTCCAGGCGCAGGACTGCATGGCCGCCCAGAGGCTGGAGCGGCTGGAGTCCGAGGAGGACTCCGTTGGCTGGGGAACGCCAGACTGCAGCTCCGAGGCCGGCTGCAGCAGACATTGCCTGACTTCTATTTATAGACCGTTTGTAGACAAAGCCCTGAAGCAGATGGGGTTAAGGAAGTTAATCTTGAGGCTTCACAAGCTGATGGATGGCTCCTTGCAAAGGGCACGGATGGCACTGGTCAAGAGCGACCGTCCCGTGGAGGTAGGTTTCCGGCAGGCGCTAGTGGTCTCTTCAGGGCCATTGCTGGTTGTAAATGACAATGATTGTTGGGTTGTCTATTATGTACTTTCCTAGTCGTGATATTTTTAAGGCATAAGTGGTAGTTATAAATTGCAGATTTAAACGTTTCTATAAAGTACTGTGATAAATGGGGACATGGATCTATGAAAACCGTACAAAATTTGGTGAATTCAGTATAAGGCAGTGTGTGGAGGGGGAAATGCAGCCAGGTAAATATAGGCTGGAGAAGGACAGCTAGGTACAAGTAGAGAGGGAGGAAAGCCACAGTCTTGGGTGACCACAGGCCAAACATGAGTCAACATGGAGCTAAAATATTTTTAAATGAATACGGCATCCAAGGTCATGGATATAGTTTTCTCTCTATTCTTTGCAATAGCTTTCTCCTTTTTTGAGTAGCAACAGTGTTGGCCACTGGATGTTAAGAGATGTGAATTGTAGAGATCTGTGAGAAGGACTGAAGGGGAAAGAGCACACTGCTGGGTGAGGTTGGCATAGGGGATGCAGGTCTAAGGGAATCCTTAATTATTGTCAAGTGCGTGCTCAGTTGGTGAAGGTTTTGTGAGAGGCGAGTATGCCTATTAGAGAAAGTGGTGGAAATTGGGTTTTGTGCAGGCTTAGTTTTGACAGCTTGATGTCTCAAATTCTTTACTGCTGAAGGCGGTAACCAAAAGGGCCACACTGTTGGGTGTTCTTGATCATGAAAGAGCGCAAGTGATTTTCTGTGGTGAGTGTGTGTGTTCATTTGGCTGGAAGCAAAAGGTCCCAGCCCTGTGAGAGTCCTTCTCTCTGTGTGAGGTTATGGTTCCAAATTTTAGTAGCTATATGTATATGTATAACCTTTTAGAAGAACTGCAGTTTATTACATAACCCGGAAAAGTAATTTATTTTTGAACTGATGTTCACGTCATGACCCCTAGGAAGAGTGGTGAAGCATTCACATAATATAGCAGGATGTTTGCAAAATGAGTCCATACTTTGTAGCTGAGGTTGGTTTACTTTGAGTATCATTTTGATTAGAAATCTTAAAAATGAATCTATATTGTGATTTGCTTTGAATCGTATTTTAACTCTGATTTTTTATGTATATCTTTTTTAGAGCAAGTGAAGGTTTTTTTTTTCTCCCTGTGAATAACTTTTCTAATAAGATTTTATTATAATGCATATAATAGGTTTTATTTTATTATAGATTTTATTTTATTCCTCCTCGTCCTCCTCCTTCATCCTCACCCGAGGATATTTTTCCATTGATTTTTAGAGAGAGTGGAAGAGGGGCAAAGACGGGAGAAATACCAATGTGAGAAAAACATCGGTTGTTTGCCTCCTGCAAGCGCCCCGACCAGGGCTTGGGCTGGGAAGAACCTGCAACCCAGATATGTGTTTTGACTGGAATCGAACTCAGGACCCTTCAGTCCACAGGCCGATGCTCTATCCACTGAGCCAAACCGGCTAGGGCATATTATAGTGCAGGTTTCAAAGTCAGTAGAGCAAAACTAGATCTGTAATAAGGTTTTGTCACATGTTCCAGATAGGGAAGAACTTACTTTGGTCTAGATTTTTGGCTGGAAGCGTTCAATTCCAGTGAGGACACATGTGGGCAAGACAGGGTTGATGATTAATTTTTATTGTGAAGCACAGAGTTGAAGTATATGAATGAAAAGGCTCTGGCAGTAGTGCCACATCTCTCATTCAGTGCTTGTAGGAGAGGCCAGGTGGTGCGGTGCTGAGGGCTCGGGGAGGTGTGTCCCGGCTTCATAACTGCTTTACGTGCTGCCACCCATTGTCTCTCCCCAGACCCTCTGTGGCAGTGAGCCGTTGCTACCACAGGAGTGCTTTGCATCCTTAGTTACGTTGGAGCAAGATATCATTGCATTTGATGTTAGAATTTATGTGAAAACAGACAGTAGTAGGTAGCTGTAGTTTTGGATTTCCATCAAAGTTGTGTTCCTTTAGCTTGACCAAGTAAGATTTAAATGAATAGCTTGTCCTTGTTGTAGAAGAAAAGAAACATACACATTCAAAGCTTAATAAATGTGTGATTGAAGATTTGTTAATTAAAATTATCTGGACGGTTTGCTTTACAGAAGCACCTGTTATTTTAAATTTTGGTTTATAAAACATTATGTTTGTCAGATAATGAAAGAGTAACTGAGAGCTAAAGTAGAAACTTTGCTGTATTGGAGATTAATCCAGATTAATAAAAGACAAGCTCTGAAATAATTCACTTAGTAGGAAAGTAAGACTTTATTTTTATTCCCACTTCAGGGACATAATTCTGTAAGGGGAGGTATAGTTCATGAATACATGTACATTCCCATCTGGGATTGTTTTGCTTTATCTTTTTACTAAGTATGTTGGGGAAAGATGCACAGTTTTGAAGGCAAATAACTGGATTCTATTCCTTGATGTGGCTCTTTCTCACCACATAACTTTGTAAATGACTTAATCTTTCTGACCCTAGGTCTTCACGTCTGTAAAATGGGTATAATACCTTCCTACCTACCTCAGGGTTGTTGTGAGGCTTAAAAAGACATTTACATAAATAGTAAAATGCTATAGAAGTAAAATATAAACTATTATTCCTTATGTTTTGTTAGTTTTTCTCCCTTAAAGCTAACTGTAGTTAGTATGGGCTAGACTATTTTATATGTTTTTTAAATATGTATTTAACTTTTAAGTACCAAATAATTGTGTGTTTTAATGGTATAAATTAGTTTCAGAATTGCTCACTGTACCCTGTAAGGAGTAAAGTTATCAACTAGAGTACTGTGTATAATTCCATTCTTTTGTCTTTAGCCTATGGAGCACAGTGTTCCTAAGTTAGCTAGGTTAGCACCTTTTCCTTTCCCTGTTCAGAAAGGTTAGGTCGTACATTTGTAGTGTAGTTAGGTTCATTTATCTCATCTGCACTCTCCTGGGATTTCCCAGTGTCCAGTTGATTTTAAATTTTCCAACTGTATGAAGTTCACTCTTTGTTGTACAGACTGTAGGTTTTATACATTTAAAATGTTAAAACAAAACAAAACCCTCGCATATTTGAGCCATAGATTGTGATATGGTTAAGCTGTGCTAATTCCTTTTTTATTTACTTATGAAATGTGTATATTTTCAGAAGAGAAAGATAGAATGAAAACATATTTTAATGTAATATGCAAAAAATTTAGCTGTCTGACTTTGTTGATTACCATGCATATTACCTCAAATTCTAGGAGGATTTTTGGTAACTCCATTAATTACTTTCTTTTCTTTTCTTTTTTTTTTTTAATTACCTGGCCTGGCTGGTGATCAGGTCTGCGGGGGGGGGGGGGGGGGGGGGGAAGGGGGAGAAGGAGAGGGAGAATGATGGACAGAGGAAGGTTGGCTGCCGGCCCGATTGGGACAGGCTGGCTGGGGGGAGGGGGTGCAGGAGGTTGGCTGTGGGAGCACACTGACCACCACGCTGACATACTACCGGTGGTCAGTGCATGTGTCATAGTGACTGGTTGTTTGGTCGTAACAGATGCTTAGGTTTTTATTTTTTATATATATACCGTATTTCCCCGAAAATAAGACCTAGCGCATGGAAAGATAAGACATCCCCTGAAAATAAGACCTAGTGCAACTTTGGGAGAAAAAATTAATATAAGACACTGTCTTTTTTTTGGGAAACAGGGTAGAATTGTAAGTTTAGTGGCCAAGAAATATCATTTGTCTTAGGAGCTAATAATAATTATGCTAATTTTTCATGAAGAGGTTGCCTTTTATATTCAGAGTGGACAAAGGCTATAGAAACAAGGCTATGCATCTATAATAAACTACCAATTTATTGTAGCCTTACTGTGTTCTAGACACAATAGCTGAATGCATTGCATATTTATTTCTATATTTCACATATACGGAGAGTACATGACTTGGCCCGAATCACAGAAGCTATAGATTGCTAGAGAGATTCAAACCTAGGATTTGGGGATACCAGAGTTTAAGCTCTGCTCATGGTTTCCAAACCTGACTGCACATGCTTATGTCCTGAGAGCTCTGACAGATACACACACCGATCCTTCTTTATAGGAAGGAGCACTGGCATGTTTTAAAATTAAATATATTTTTATTAATTTCAGAGAGAAAGGTAGAGGGAAAGAGAGAGAAACATCAATGATGAGAAAGAATCATTGATAGGCTGCTTCCTGCAAACCCCACACTGGGGATTGAGCTTGCAACCTGGACATGGCCCTGACTGGGAATCGAACCCTGACCTCCTGGCACATAGGTCGATGCTCAATCACTGAGCTGTGCTGGCTAGGCAGAGGAGCACTGGCCTTTGTAATCTGCGTACATAGCCAGACCAACCAGCACCAGTGCAGCTGCGAGTTAGCCCATTGGGAGGGGTAGGGAGGCCACAGAACTCTCCACCTCCGCTCTCACAATCAGAGTTTATTCATACAGTTTTTATAGGTCACTTTTTATTTGCTCCAAGCTTCACCTGTCTGATTTCATTAGTGAAGCTACAGGAACTTTTTAATTGAGGTGGCAAGCTAACAAGCACCTGCCTGCTCATGGCCTATGGGTTTTGTTTTTCTTAAAAGAAGCATACTTACATGTGGGCAAGTGGGAAGTGGTGTTCCAGTTTGTAGCAGAGAACTGAGTTCATGACAACAGCTGCAGCGCAGGACCAGTGGCGAGTGGTCATTGAATTCGTACCATGTGGAGGGTACAGGATGCCTACAGTGAGTGCTGGAGCAGGATGGGAACCCAGAACTGGCTGCAAGGCCATGTGCTTAGCCAGCACATTGCCTGCCTCCTGCAGTAGGGTCACTGCCCCAACTGGAATGTCTACAGGTGTGAATGTCCCACGTCCCATGTGGTTCAGGGTTCGGGCTCTGGAAGAGGGGCCACATGCGAATGAAAGAGACGAGACAAGAAACAACATTTGGGGACCAGGTGGCAAGCTCAACTCAAGAGGAAGGACTCTGCGTTTGCTCTCGCTTTGCCATCCTTTTATTTAGTTTGGGACACACCTATAGCCCTTAGGCTGGCAATTTCCAGTAACAGGCAGACTATCTTATCGGTAAGGATTTACTTTACTGTCTGGTAGGGAAGATGCTTCAGCTACCATTGTCTGGACTAAACTGGGGTATACTGCCCTGACCTTTGCCAGAGCTCAAGGGTCACCAGCCTTCCTGGTCGCCTCAGTGCTAGTGAAGACAATGGGCGGCTTCCCGCATGCAGGCCATGCCAGGGATGTGGCTTGTGCAGGAGAATGAGGGCAGGTGGCTGTGAAGAGCAGAAGCAATGGGCACTGTGGTAAACTGAGCCGCCAGGTGCTGCCACGTGGGCAATGTGGGCCCAGTGTGGACAGACCTCCCAGTATGTCGAACAGGATAGAAAGATCCAGATTTTCATGTAAAATCTTCCACTTTTTAAATGCTGGCCACTAAGTAAAAATATTTAAAGCACCGCATGGGACAATTAGAGACAGAATATCTATTAGTTGGTGAAGTTTTAAGTTGAAGAAAAGTTGAGGTTTTTCAAATGTTGATGGTTTCAGTGTTCTCAAAAGGAGAATGCAAGGTCTTTTTTTTTTTAATATATTTTATTGATTTTTTTACAGAGAGGAAGAGAGAGGAATAGAGAGTTAGAAACATCAATGAGAGAGAATCTTTGATCAGCTGCCTCTTGCACACCCCCTACTGGGGATGTGCCCGCAACCATGTATATGCCCTTGACCGGAATCGAACCTGGGACCCTTCAGTCCTCAGACCGACACTCTACCACTGAGCCAAACTGGTTTCAGCAGGGCAAGGTCTTTGAATATGATTTGTCAGCATGCTGTTGCCATGGGGAAGTTCCAAACCCCCTGTTTTATGGCGGGAATGCAATGGTGAGCTCCCAGGAAACATCAAATAACAGATATTTGAGTGAGACCAGCCAGGTCAATTTTATGTTATTTTCCTGATTTTTCTATCAGTGTCATTCAGTGTAGCTCAGGAAGAAAAATGGAAAACAGAATGTGTTGAATGCACTGGTTTTTATGTTTACACTGGAGGCCCGATGCACAAATTCCATGCAAGAGCAGGCCTTCCTTCTCCCAGCTGCCGGCACCGGCTTCCCTCGGGGACCCGGGACCCAGGATTGGGCTTCCCTTGCAGTCCCGGCTTCGTCTAATTAGCATGAATTTTAATAATTTTCTGGTTTTTCTTAGTGTATTAATAGATATAGTTGTGGGCAATACTATATATAACCTTAAATAAGTGTTCTGACCATTTTAGTAAAAAATACATGATGAAAAAGATGAACTTGATTATATTTCTATTTTATTTTTTTGACAAAAAGATTGCAATTTGCTTTTAGTTCTTATTACGGTTTTCTAATACTTAGAGGACTTTTTGTTTCAGAAAACATTAAATTGAAATGTTAAATTATTCTAAAGATAACTTTTCCTGTAAAATGATGGTTTTTGTAGATTTGTCAGCAAATTACAGAGAATAATAGCTTATAACTACACCCTCATGCACGCTCTTTCACCTTTGTTGAATTTTGTTACAGTTTTCTGAGTTTCCAGATCCCATGTGGGGCTCCGATTATGTGCAGCTGTCCCGATCGCCTGCTCCTTCGGAGCAGACGTGCAGCGCCGTGTCCTGGGCGGAGCTCGAGGCCATGGACCTACCCTCGTTTGAGCCTGCCTTCCTGGTCCTCTGTCGCGTCCTCCTGAATGTCATCCATGAGTGCCTCAAATTGAGACTGGAGCAGAGGCCTGCGGGGGAACCGTCTCTCTTGAGTATTAAGCAGGTTTGTTTCAAAGACTGTTTAGAAACATGCAGCAATGATTATGTTACTCCACAGGCTTATCATTTTTATTTTGAGGAGTTTTCTGTAATTGTTGCTAATAGTAAAAAATGAGTTATTAGTGTTTTCAAACCTGCTCTTTTTAGGGTAATTGAAATATTCTTAACATGCAGTCCTCAAATATAGAATTGTGGTTCAGCCTTTCTATTATTTACTTCCTTGTCTAAAAGGATATAAAAGTAGGATGATGATATGATCCATATCCTATTATATCAGTCTTTAAAGAATGGAAACTTAAAATTAGATACTTTAAGTTTTTTAATTTATTTTTTTTTTCATTCCTTTTAAGCTACATGTAAACATCTAATTTCCTCAGTTAATCTTGGATTTGTTTGTGTGATTATTATAAATTTTTGATGGTGAAAGCCATAAATCCCTGTAGGTAAATTATGCTAAATTATTACAAAGACCCTCATGCTGTGTGGTAAGAACATTTGAATATTATGATTAAAAGGGATGAGATTTTTCTCTTCTATATTGTGTCTTATAATGGAAAGTAGTAGAAAACTATCTTTCTGTGGATTTTATTTTCTATGTAAATTTTTTTGTAGGAGGGTATATTTTAGCAAATCAGTTTTTGTTTATGGGAGATTTTCGCTCTGCACCCATACTTCATTTTTGCTACTTTGTTCTCATCCAGTTGAGACTAAGGTATTATGTAAGAATCTGGAAAATACCTTAGGCTTTTCAGAGGTGAGGATTCATTTGGTGGAGGGGGGTGGGGGAGAGCGGGGATGGAGTTTTTGAGGCTTTAAGTGGGAACTGTGAAATGGACACCTAGCCTGGTCAGGATGTGTGAGATGACGGAATCTGCCATGTGCCCGCAGCTCGTCCGGGAGTGCAAGGAGGTGCTGAAGGGCGGCCTCCTGATGAAGCAGTACTACCAGTTCATGCTGCACGGCGTGCGGCGCGGCCTGGAGGAGGCCGACTGCAACATGGACGCCTTCGAGGAGGACCTGCAGAAGATGCTGATGGTGAGGCACGGGCGGGGCTGCCCCCAGCTCTGTCTGTCCGTCTGGTGTGTGTGTGTGTGTGTGAGGCCCCCTTTTAACCCATTGTTTTACAGCCTGTTCTCGCTCACCGTTTCATTGTGGCTCTATAGCAGAATGGCCCCGAAATAGAATCATAGTCTGGTCACATTTTGTTGAGCCATCTGTCACCAGCTCGATCTGTAACACCTCGGGTGCACAAGGGACCTTGTCCGGCTCTGGCAGACAGTAACGAGGTCTATGAAACCCGGTCTGAAGAACTGGGCAAAGCTGGTATTCCTCCCTGAGTAGGGAGTGCCGAGGTAGCCTGTGCTGAGACGCCAGGAGGGGTTGGGGTGGGACACTGACACTGGACGGGCACTTCCAGGAGTGTCTTACGGTGAGGCAGCCGATCTGAAGAGGAGTCGGGGGTTAGTGAGGAGCCTGGCACCTGCATGGATTATAAACAATGTGAGCAGACTTACTTTGTATTTCTTTCCAAAAAGAGTCCCAATCTCCTCACGGATCGTACATACCATGCTTTCTAACCACTAGACTTTTGCTCATATTATTTCTTTCTGCTCCAAACGTCCCTTTTCTTAATTTGCCCATCTGAGACTTATTTCAAGTTTCATTTTTTCTAGAAAGTTTGACAGTTTTAACCTTTGGTGTGCTTTATCTAAACCTTTTTTGAACTCTCAGCAGTTATAATTACAACTGTACTACTTAATACATAATGACATAGCAGCTCTGTTCCCAGGTTCCCCTAATTAGACTGAGAGCTTTACAAGCCACGGGCTATGCCTTGAAGTTCTTTTGTCTTCCGTAATGTCTGGTAGAGTCTTAATGTGCAGTAAACACATGTTAGAATCAATAGAGAGACACACACACACAGCTGATTGCACAATGTGGCAGGCTGATGAAATAATATAGAAAACAACCTCACTGGTAGTATTTCTTTTTGCAATGCTTTCATCCTTGCTTGACACCTCTCTATGCTACCTCAGGGTGGCTTAGCATGTCGGCTACCACCCTCCTCTCTGGGCTGGGAGAGAAGAGCAGGATGGAAGGGAAGTGTGCTCGCCGCTGAGTCCAGAGCAGGGCCTCCTGGAAGTGCCGCCCAGCAGCTGCCCCTGCCAGGGTCCGGCTGGCCAGGCTGGAGGCAGAGCCTCTCCCTGCAGTGCAGGCTGGGTCTTCACACACGTGGTCGCCAGCCTCTCGAGGGGAAGGAGTGAAAGGAGACGTGACTGGGAAGAGCACTAACCGCACCTGCCGCATTATGAGAAATAATTTGATTTTAAAATTATTTCCTGATTATTTGGGAGAATATATAAAAGACCAGTTCGTCTAAAATGTGGCTATGTTTTAAAGTAATATACATTTTTTATGTCGGAAAAGTCTTTATCATTGAAAATGTATGGTATAAAACCATAAGCAAACTAATTTTTCTCTCTGTGGATGACTAAACAGAGGTTTAAAAAGAGAAAATGTGCTTTTTTTGCCTAGGATTTAGTTTAAGCTTTGCTACTAATTATCTGTGGAAGGCATAATTCCCCTTAGTTTCTCTCATCATCTCACAGATGAAGAACTAGCAAGTACCATGTTTTTAAAATTGTGCCCCAAAGTGTGCTAGATGGGTAATGTTTTTAGAACTGGGGAAGCCCAAACAAAACCAGTGTTTTTATTAGGAAGGAAGGAGAGAATGAATGGCCTTTGGATTGGCTGTCAGATTATGTTTACTGCATTACCCTTCTTTTGAAGCTCACCAAAAACAGCAAAAGGAAGGAGAGTAAAGAAAAACATTTCAGGTTCAGTAAAGGAGGATATTGATCACAATATTGACCACCTCTCCCTCTCCGCCCCCCCAAAAAGAGACTATTACAATTATTTACTTGAGCATTTAGACTAAAATGAGGGTTACTAGAGATGGAGGGCCCATCCATTGCTTAACTAGCATTGTGGTATGTCGGGTGTGAACAGTCAGGAGAGAAGCAAGATGTCCTGTTGTAGATGGCATTTCTGACGACAGGAGAATAGAGGGACACTTCTGTTGTCTGCAGCTCACGCTCTGAGCAGGAAGACTGCTGATGAGAGCTAGGTGGAAGGGTGAGGGGCAGCAGTGATGGACAAGAGATGATGCAGAACAAATGTGACTTAGAGGTCTGCTCTATGCTACTTCATCCCTCTGACTTGAAAACTGAGGGATGTGTGCATGCAGGTCCAAGGAAATGACTTGGGGTTTGAGGCAGCAAGTCCGTATTAAAGCTGTGGACATTCTAACTCATTTCCCTGGTTTTAGAAATCATCACAACAATGAACAGAAATGTAAGGTGTAGGAACATATGATAGATTCAAGGAACCACGTCAAAAGAATTTAAAAGGTGTGATATTTGCCTGGCTGGTTTGGCTCAGTGGTTGTGTGTCCTATGAACCATATGCTCCTATGAACCAGGAGGTCACAATTCAAATCCCAGTCAGGGCACATGTCCAGGTTGCGGGCTCAATCACCAGTGCAGGACATGGAAGAGACAGCCAATCAGTGATTGGCAATGAGTGATTGCTGTTTCTGTCTTCCTATCTCTCTCCCTTCCTCTCTGAAGTCAATAAAAGTATATTTAAAAGAGAAAAAGAAAAAGATGTGATATTTGATAACATGGTGTGAAATTTTTAGAAGCCAGGGGAGGGCCAGACACAATTAGAGTTCCCATAGAGTAGTGACATTCAACCTTTTCCATCTCATGGCGCATAAACTTAATTACTAAAATTCTACGGCACACCAAAAGCTGTGTTATATTTTTTTGCCGATCTAACAAAAAAAATAATAGGTATAATTTTGATTCATTCACACTGGATGACTATGGTTGTGTTGGCTGTTGTCATTTTTTTTTCTTTTCTTTTTTTTTTTCCTGACAATCTAAGGGAAAACAGGTTGGTGCCCCTGACTTATTAATTAGGTATTGCATGTTTAAAAATCCCTGTGGCACACGGGTTGACGGTCACTGTTCTGAAGAATAAAAGGAAGCACAGGAGCAGAGGGAGCTCCGGGAGCTGCTCACTTCCCTTGTTCATCTGGGTAGGACGGTGGTAGCCTATCTTGCAGGTTCCACACACACGGCTGGCCCAGGACTGGATACTGGTGTCGCCAGTGTGGACGGAGGAGGGCCCGGAACACTCAGGGTACAACAGAAGACACCTCTCGAAATAAAGACAAGACGTGAGACTTGCCTCCTGGAGTTGTTAAGGTCTCAGAAAATGTCCGCTATGAAGAACCAGAGGCATAACCCGATGAAAATACAGGAGTCCAGGCTAGAGGAGCATCCTGTAAACAGCCAGCAACGACAGCAGGCACCAGGGCGGGGAGGTGGTGACAACCAGTTTGGGCTGGCATCAGATTTCTTCATCCTGGTAACAGCGCTAGAGGCAGTGCATGGTGGCGAAAAGTTCTGAGGGAGAGAATGTGTGACCCAGATATTTTCTACGCAGTCAGCTCACCCTTTCCTAAAGGATCAGTAGGCGGTGATAGTTTTTTTTTGGTAATCTACAATTGTGAGCCCGTCTTGAGAAAAACTACTTGATAGTAAAACCCTACTAAGCAACAGGTGAGTCAAAATAAGAATTTAGGGCTGAGAAAGCTTAATAGGACTTACGGTGGACATTAACATCATTTCAGAAAAAGTGGGTATTTTAGTTACAGATCATAATTTATGTCATAAACCTTGAAAAATTATAGCACAAAACCTGGCTATTGGGAAGGGACGGTGAGAAGTGTGCTCATTTCCTCTCAACACATAAGCTACTGTCGAAAGTTAAACAAGTAAAGATCCCAGCTCTTTAAGGAGTAAAGTTTGCAATATATTAGTGGTAAAATTTCTGGTTGCTATTCTTTTTAATTTTTTAAACTTGTTGGTACTTTACTGCATTGTGAACATTGTAGCCATTTGCTCAGTAATCGGAAGGGATTGTGAGGGCTCCGTTAAGCCTCGAGGGGCTGAGCTACACAGTCTAAGAACAGCCCCATGAGCCTCCGCTAGCATGCCCGTGCCCAGTGGCCTCCACCTGGCTCTCTGACGCATAGCTCTCATGTTGACAGTTGAACTTTGTGAGTTGCCAAGTTGTTCTCAAATGCCACCCTTTACATTTTTCTGTTTTAAGGTATATTTTGATTACATGAGAAGCTGGATCCAAATGCTACAGCAGTTACCTCAAGCATCCCACAGTTTAAAAAATCTGTTAGAAGAAGAATGGAATTTCACCAAAGAAATCACCCATTACATCCGGGGAGGAGAGGCCCAGGCTGGGAAGCTTTTCTGGTAGGAACCCTCTGCTCCGGGGCACCTGTCTGCCCTCCTCCGTTTGATCGTGTTTCTTGTTCTTCCCGCACACTGACAGAACCCTCTCCCGGCCATTCTGCTTGTTACAACCTGCATTGCCCACAGGGCCCCCTTCCACAGGTCTGACCTTTCTCCTCTGCAGCCCCCCCCCCCCCCCATCTCTGCCACCTCTGCGCTGGCCGTGCCCCGCCTGCTTTCTTTCCCAGGTCGTAGCCTCTTTCCTTGAGTATCACAGCAGTCAAGCTGCTATGGAACTTGTACTGCTCTCAGATGTATGTTTATACTTGCATCTGCCTTTTAACCCTAGTATTTAGATTTCCTACTCAGAGAGAACCATCAGCTGTGTATACTAGCTTATGGTTAATAACCACGAAAAGCTAATTGTGGGGGGAAACTTAAAAAACAGTTGCAGTTAAAGAATTCACTTTATTGCTTTATATTATCATTTAGTTTATTAAGCTTTTTAAAAAACCTTGTCATAGATATATATTTAATGCATTTTATATCATTTTAAACATTTGCTTAAGAGGAAAATAACATCTGTGAATAATTACATAGCTACTGTGTAATTATACTTGCATTTATACTTGATAATAGAACAAAGGTAGACACAGGCCATAATTAGTTTCCACCTTTTTACATTAATCATGATTTTATATCGAAAAACCTTCAGTCATTTCTTAAATGGTTGAAACACTTGGACCTTCCAGGTCCTCATTTGAGAGCTGTAGTGCAGTGAGCACGCTCTTTCCCCCGCTCACTCCTGTTGCTCTTTGTCCCAGCGACATTGCAGGGATGCTGCTGAAGTCCACGGGGTGCTTCCTGGAGGTCGGCCTGCAGGAGAGCTGTGCCGAGTTCTGGACCAGTGCCGACGACAGCAGTGCCTCGGATGAGATCAGGTGAGGAGCCTGAGATCAGCTCATTCACACCGAATGGTTGGGCACTTTCTGAGCTTGGCCTGGAGGGATTTACGCTGTCTTTTCATGTGGTCTCTAGTCTGGTTCTGTGACATTTCCCGGGAAATGGCGTCGTCGGGGAAAGGAACAGGTAGTTTCAGTGGGCAAAAACGAGCAGAGAAGAACCACCCCGTGTTCTAAGTGAGGGTGTCCTTGAGGCAGTCCTTTAGCATTTTCATTGCCACTTGCTGCTTTGGTATCGCTTTTATGCTCAGCGCATCCCTTCTGTTGAACTTGAAGCTGAAGTGCGTGGAACCGTGGCTTACTCACCGGTGCATTTCCTCCAGTTCTGTGCAGATGGCATTTAGGCTGAATCATGTAACGTGGCTGTTTTATGGCCTGTACATCAGTCATGTAGTTATTGTGCGGCCAGCGATCAGTCAGTGGGGCAATGGGACACCCCCTCAGGCAGGGCTCAGGCCGAGCTGGCATCTGTAGAACTGAACTGTGCTCCCATCCGGAGTTGATGTGAAATACAGTTTGGATTTCAGAGCGCTGGGATGTCCTTATGCCACAGATGCACACACAGTTACCACGTAGATTCTCAGGGGAGGCCTGTCGAGTTGGGACAGGGGTGGGTGGTGGGATGAAGAGGTGGGATGAAGCCATTTGTAGGGCTTGCAGTTTTGAGAGCTAATAGGGAGGATTAAAACAAAAATAGGAACTTAAGAACTAAGGTGATGAACCAGTGCAGAGAATGGCTCTCTGGTAGTTTTTAGGGGTGCATCCGAAACGTGGTTCATGTGCTGGGCTGGCTTATCCTGGGTCACAGCCGATGGCAGTAGACGGTGCACTTCTCTTCCCAGTCACCACCCAGCACCGTGGCGCTGGCAGCCTGAACTCAGCTGTGGTGGGGGTCTAGGTCCATACCTGGAACACTGACAAACACCACGTAACAGTGTTTTGGGTGAAGCCAGTTGTTAAACATTTACTGGCTTACCTTTGGTTATGTGCCTTTTTTTAATCCTTACCCAAGACTGGGGTTTTACTAATTTTGAGAGAGAGAGAGAGACATGGGGGAGGACATCGATGTAAGAGAGAAACATCAATCCTTTTGCTTCCTGTATGCGCCCCACCAGGGATGGAACCCTTCCCTTGACTTTCAGTGTGTGGGACAGAGCTCCAAGCAACTGACCCACCAGCCAGGGCTGCATATACGCCTTTAGTTAGATTATGAGCTGGGAGTTAAGACCTTGTCTCAAACGCCAGGAAATGATTGTGGAGAAATGGTTGGAAAGTTGATCTTACTGTTATCTGATGGTGATGGAGTGTACCTTGCTTACTTGAAGAACAGTGCTTTTTGGAAAACCGGGGTGGGGGAAGCTCCTGGATGTCTCATACTGCCTTCAGTGGTGGTAATGTGGTTTGGAACGTGCTTCAGCTTTCCCTCTCCTCATATCCCCGGCTGTATCTCCTGTACCCTCCTGTCTCCATCCCTGCAGGCGGTCTGTTGTGGAGATCAGCCGGGCCCTGAAGGAGCTCTTCCACGAGGCTCGGGAGCGAGCCTCCAAGGCACTTGGCTTTGCTAAAATGCTGAGAAAGGTGAGTTCGTGGTCCCGGCTAGTTACTATTACTTGCTCATTTTTTCCCTTATTTTTAAAAAGCCAGCTCTAAAGAAGTGTCATTGTGTCTATGACCCTAGGACCTGGAAATAGCTGCCGAGTTCATCCTTTCAGCCCCTGTTAGAGACCTTCTGGAGGTCCTGAAATCAAAGCGGCACATCAAGGTAAGTTAGTCACGTGTTACATGTCCAAGTGACTAGTCACGTGTTATTAGTGAAAGTAAGTATTCCCATGGTATTATGCCAAAGTAAGTCTTCTCATGGTATAATTGAGATGCTTGTCTTTCTTACTTTTCTCCAAAACAGGAAAGCTTTTCTTAAAGATCCCGAGAGTAAAAATTTTAGGCTTTGTTGGCCACATGTTGACCCCAAATCAAGTTTTTCATACTTGACCTATCGACTTGTCTTACAGATAAAAATAATTAAATACTCATCATATTTATTTTATTAAATTAGTTACACATATGTGTTTATGTTGAATTCAAATTAGTTGTTTTGTTTTTTTACCCTCACAATTCAGACTTTCTACGCAAATCTTCGACATCCTGGACATCACTAGAGCCTCTTTTTGAGTTTCATCTTTGAGCTCTGACATGTGGAGTCTGTGCATGAGGCCGATACTGGAAACTGTTCCACCCACGTTTATGTGACTTGTCCGGCACAGTCACCCGTGTGCTTCTTGCTAAAACGATCTCTAAAAGGCTGTTAGGGTCCCTCCCCATGGGTCGCTGTGAGCCTTACTGGCACTCGTGCCTTTTCACTGAGCCAGGGGACGTCCTCTGTCAGACGCCATCCGCGCAGCGCAGGCTTCCTCGCCGCCTGCCCGCCACAGGCTTTGCTCTCTGGGGGCTGCTCTGCTTAAGAATGGCGTCCAGACCAGCACGGCAGAGGCTGGCTCCGGCTGACCTTCCTCCTGAGGAGTCTTGGCTTTGCTGTGGAAACGTAGAGGTTGCCCTGTAAGCGCAACCTCCCTTTAGCTTCTCTGCTTCAGCTCTCTCCTTCTCTCCCTGCACTGCTGCATCTGTTCGCTTTGGTCTTCCAGAATGATCATTCTAATACATACATCTGACCACATCCAGATCTACTCGAACTGTGAGGAGTCCCCGCCAGTTAGTCACTGACCGGAACTGCTTGTCCCTTCAAGTAACGTTTTTTTCATTCATGGCATTTCTTAACTCAAGATTTTTCTTCAAATGGCTAAAGTTTAACTTTATTTTTAGAGCTTTATTGAGGTATAATTGGCACAGAAAAACTGCACCTAACTAGTGTATACGCTGTGGTGAGTTTGGACACACAGACACCGTGCTGCCATCACCCCAGTGAAGGTAATCAGGCTGCGGTGTTTTCTGTTCCAGGTACAGATCCCTGGCTTAGAAAACCTGCAGGTGTTTGTCCCAGACACTCTCGCCGAGGAGAAGAGGATTATCCTGGCGCTGCTCAACGCCGCCGCAGGAAAGGACTGCTCAAAGGACTGCGAGTACGTGCTGGTGCTCGACGCCTATCTCCTGCTCACCAAGCACAGCGACCTGGCGGGCGACAGCTGGGCCACGTGGGAGGCGCAGCCTTTGAAGATCGTGCCTCAGGTGGAGACTGTGGAGACCCTGAGGAGCATGCAGGTATGCCCTCCTCAGGTAATTGTGTAGCATTGCTTGTACTGAAACATTCCATCAAAATCCATAGGTGTGTTAAATTACACTGGAATGCTTGAAATACTTTGTCTTCTTTGTCTGAGCAAGGCCATTAACTCTGTACAGCCATGATCTACAGGAATCACCTCACTCATTGACTTTGTAGCTCCACAAACCCAGATTCTCCGGGACCTCCGGTTTGCCGGCTGCTTGGGTTTCACTTTTGTAGTGCCGGCTATCGCCTGCCTTCCTCGCAGGGACCGCAGTCTATACAGCTGTTCACTGAAACCGTGGACACTGCCTCGTGCTCTTGCATTCAGGGAGGGGCAGTGGTGGGGAGTGTCGTGCGCACCTGGAACCCTGCCCGTGCAGAGCTGAGTCCCGGCCTCCGGTCCTGTGACTCTGCAGATGGTTCTTCCTCTGCGCTCCCTGTCTCAGGGAACGGTGCTCCCCACTCAGCTGTTCGAACCAGAGTGGGGACAGTTCCCGTAAGTCCAGCAGCCCTAGTGAGCCCAGAGCATGCCCGTCAGTGCCCCTCCTCCGCATGCCGCCTCTTTTCCTGGACCATGGCACTCCACCTCACCTCCCTTAGCTTCTCTGCTTCAGCTCTCTCCCTCTCTCCCTGCACTGCTGCATCTGTTCGCTTTGGTCTTCCAGAGTGATCATTCTAATACATACATCTGACCACATCCAGATCTACTCGAACTACTTTGAAAATAAAGATAATTAAGTGGTTTTTTAGTTTCATACAAGGCCCCAGCCAATCCCACTCTTATTCTTGTGTCTCCCACCTCCCATGCTGCTCCTACACACACGCACATGCCATGCACATGGCACACGGGTGTGGAGTTCCTTGAGTTCTAGGGTATTTCCCACGGATCATTGACACCGTTCCCTGGCAGTCTCACACTGTGTCAGGTCCTAGCCATCGGCGCCACTGCAGCCCTGCTTCCTCAGCAGATGCTGCTGCCCAGTAACCCTGAGGTTGGCACTGGTTCCCGACGGGGCTGAACTAGAAAGAGGGGCAGGGAATGGGCCTGATTGTCAGCCCTGTGCTTGCCTTTCCTCGCAGGTGGATAATGTCTTACTGGTTGTCATGCAGTCTGCACACCTCCTCCATCAGAGGAAAGCTTTCCAGCAGTCCATCGAGGGGCTGCTGACGCTGCGCCAGGAGCAGACTTCCAGCCAGCCCATCATCGCCAAGGCTCTGCAGCAGCTCAAGGTATTCCCGTCAGCGTGGCCTGAGCTGGTGTGTGCATGTTTGCATGTCTCTCGGCAGCACAGGGGGCTATCATGTAATAAAAAAATATTATCCAGTTGTTCTCCCATTCCCCCTCTGCCCAGGCCACACTTCCCCATGGTTAAGCCAAAAAGCTTCTGGATCTTTCCTGGAACTAGAGGGACGGAAATATGAACAGTCACATGACTCATAATGGTCACATGGTTAATTAGTAGCAAAGGTGATACTGGAATTTAGGTCTCTTCATTTCTAGCCCAACGTTTTTATTCCTTAGCAGCACTTACTGGAGGTACTCCAGGTCAGTAATGTGTAGTCTAAAAGCTTTGCTGACCTCATGTAACAGCTAGATCAGCCAGATGACTAGACAGAGCCAGTGAGGACAGGCACGTAGCCTCAGAGTTCATGGCCAGCCAGAGCCGACCTTCTCTTCTCTTACTTCCTGTTTTCACCATTTTCTCTGTCTTCTCCATTTATCATCCTGGTCTTGTCCACACTCCTCCCGGGCCATCAGCTCTGTCCTCTCAGGAGGTTGAGGCTGGCTTCTGGAAGAAGCGGCACGGAGATGACAAGGAGTTGGATAAGCATGCGTTTCTCTCCAGTCCTCCTGACCCATCTTACTCCTCTGTGACCACCCCTTCAGGCTGCCACCCATCTACTAACAGGGCAGGGCTTGTCTTTCCTTGTAGTTTGAGTCAGTGAGAGTGTAAAACTCCATGAGACACTAATTATTCTTGAGCTGGAGGAATTCGTAGCCTAAGAACTGGAGCTGTCACGCTGACCACAGAGGAGGGAGAGTCAGAGGCTCCTGGTAGCATCTGAGAAGAGCCGGCACGGAGACCTTTCGGCTTGGGGGCATTTCAGAAACTGCTCGTTGAGAGGAGAGGGCAGGCACTGGTGAATGGGTCAGGCTGCGGGGGGCTCACTGGACGTCCGAGTCGGGTGTGGTCTGCTCGGCTGGCTCCAGTGCGTGCAGCGGGAGGCAGTGGGAGCTGAGGCTGGGCAGGGCAGCTGGGGAGAGAGCCTCGGTTTTATTTTCTAAGCCGCAGGAAGTTGTTGAGGATTAGGAGGAAGAGTTTGGGATCGTGGGTAAGGGGAGTGTGTTCATAGGGTGTGTTTTTAAAGGTGAGTGGGAAGGGAGCTCACTTTGAGCACCGTTGTCATGTTGCTTAGCGAGACGACAAGGCCTGAGCTTTTTGTCTGGGAGCTCTCTGTGCTCTGTGGGACGGTTAGCAGTATCCCTGACCTCCACCCGATCGATGCCAGCAGATTTTACTCCCCTCCAGTTGTCACAACCAAAAATCCCTCTAGCCGTTGCCAGTGTCTCGTGGGAGGTGGGGGGAGATCTAATTGAAAACTGAATTTAGTGGAAGGGGAATGAGAAGGATGTATAACTTGGTAACATTGAGGAGGTCATTTAGAAATACACCAGGAATTCATTCGGGAATTTGAGCAACCACCCAGAGGAAAACAACTGGTGGGTGACATGTAAAAATATTGACGCTATAAGCATTTAGTCCAAGATCACATTGTCATTAGATGTTACCATTTTAAATGGATCCCTTTTATATTTCATAAGATATTAAAGAACACTTAATACAGATAAAAATGAAAATCATGTAATTTTCTTTATTTTTGGTCATTCCTTTTGACTAACCAAAAAAATGTGGCTGAGAAATATTGCACTGGTTTATGTCTGTGATGATGAAAGAAATCTTCCACTAAAATACATAAATATTGTGTGATTTGCTTCTTTTTGGATTAATTATGGTTTGGGACTCTTTAGAATGATGCATTAGAGCTTTGCAACAGAATAAGTGATGCCATTGACCGAGTGGACCACATGTTCACTTCAGAATTCGATGCTGAAGTCGATGAGTCGGAATCTGTCACGCTGCAGCAGTACCACCGGGAGGCCATGATTCAGGGCTACAACTTTGGGTTCGAGGTAGGTCCAGAGCACGAGGAAAAACAGTGCAACTCGGCAGTTGCTTTGTAACTTACTCATAAGAAGTGTCCTGAGTCTTTTATGCAAATCTGATTATTGATTGTAATCACAACTTAATCAGGAATGTCTTCTTACACCATTGCTAGATATTAGAAATGTTGGTTTACTTTTAAACTGTCAATAGTTGCCCAGTATTTACTAGTATTTTATGCAAACAGCTATCTACTTACATTTAAAAACCTTTTAAGAGTTGTCTAATATCATAAGAGCACATTTTTAATTTAAACGAGTAAACCATTTGTGAAACTACATTGAAATATATTCTAACTCTTCATGCTGTAAATTTTAATTGGATTTTTGTTTTTATTTATTTATTAGAGGCCTGATGCATGAAATTTGTGCAATAGTAGGCCTTCTTTCCCCTGGCTGCTGGCACCAGCTTCCCTCTTACACCTGGGACCTGGGCTTCCCTCAAAGCCTTGGCTTTGTCTGGAAGGTCTAATCAGCATATTACGCTTTTATTATTATAGATTTTAAAATATTTTTCTTTATTTCAGAGAGGAAGGGAGAAGGAGAAAGAGAGAGAGAAACACCCCGTGATAAGAGAGAATCATTGATCAGCTGCCTCCTGCATACTTCCTTCTGGGGATTGAGCCCGCAATGCGGGCATGTGCCTTTGCCTGGAATCAACTCGGTACCCTTTGGTCTGCAGGCCAACGCTCTATCCATTGAGCCAAACCAGCTAAGGCTGAATTTTTGTTTTTAGAAAAAAGTCATTTTAAACTGATAAGGTATTACAGTGTTTAGATGTTTTTATAATCATTTTCTTCTTAACGTTAATGTAAATGAAATCTTACAGTATCATAAAGAAGTTGTTCGACTGATGTCTGGAGAGTTTAGACAGAAGATTGGAGACAAATATATAAGCTTTGCCCGGAAATGGATGAATTATGTCCTGACTAAGTGTGAGAGTGGGAGAGGCACCCGACCCAGGTAACGACCAGGTGGGATGTGCGTGAGCTTGTGGGGTTGGTAGTGCTTCCTCCTGTACTTACCATGGGCTCCTGAGCAGAGAACACAGCAGGAGCATTTTGAACTCCTCAGTGATCAGTTGTGTGTGTGTCTGTGTTTTTGTTTGGTTTTTGTTGTTCTAAGTGAGTTTTCTCTAAGGGAACCTATATTCTCCCTGGACAGATCTTCCTGGTTGCTAATCTCTCCTCCCTCATGAAAGTTAGCTGGTTATTAGAAAAAATGGAAAACAAATTGGTAACCAGTTATTTTCCTAAGAAGCCATATTGTCTTTCTTTCCCAAAAACATGCTGTAAACATACTCAGTCCCTGGCATTTACATAAAGACAGAAAATGTGTTTTGTCCTAGATGGTAATTTTCCAATTACACCGCTTTTCAGTGTTGTGGACTAAAGCTGCTATAGCATTTTCTTGGTTCTTCTGTGATTATTGACGCTTTTCATTGCAGGTGGGCAACTCAAGGTTTTGACTTTCTGCAAGCCATCGAACCTGCCTTCATTTCAGCTTTACCAGAAGATGACTTCTTGGTATGAACTATTCTACAGTTTTTTTCTCGTAAAAAACAAACAAGTTTATTACTGTCTGTTCTTGATTGTGTGTTTTTCATATTTCATAGTGATTTTAAAATATGTTTAATGTAATTGTAACAACAGTGCTTAGAACTGAGTCGTTCGTAGCTGCAGTAGGACACAGTGTGGCTCAGCGGCTACGCCAGCGGGTCGTGCAACTAAAATAGTTGTCTGCTTTGCATTTACTGACTGCTGACCTCGCTGCTGGTTTTTAGCAGTTTAGTGAAGACCAGGGATTAGCTATTTCATTTCACTGTGTGTCATCTGAGAGCCTGATATTAAATGTTAAATATTATCACTGTTATTCCTATAAATTCCATCAGATTAAAAAGATGTTTCAAAATATAAATTTACTTAACTCCAAATAGTGGAGGTGATTGCAGGCCCTCACTTGTGCACGTCATTGCATTCTGGGCACTGAGGGCACATCCGCTTTTACTGATGAAAGGGGATTGTATGACATTTTTAATTAGGCACCGCATGTCATTAATTCTTGTTCATACCTGTTTTATTTTAAACTAACGTTGAAAACGTTTACTAAGGATAGCATGTTCTTTTAAATATACCTACAGCTTAATTTGTGCTGATTGTCTAAGTGAGAGAGTATTCATTCTTCCTTCTCCTTTCCCATTTCCTGTGGGTGCTAGAGCTTGCAAGCCTTGATGAACGAATGCATTGGTCACGTGATAGGAAAGCCGCACAGTCCTGTTACAGGTTTGTACCTTGGTAAGACGGCAGCTGCAGCATTTCTGTTGACCCCACTGGCTCTGCCGAGTGTCTCCTTCCTCCTCATCACCCTCCTTTCCAGTGGGTAGAGGGTCTTTAAGGATATCAGCACAGGGGCAACCAAAGCCAGAGGAGTGAGGTGTACACGTGGAGGACTCCACAGTGACCGTCTGAATCCTGCAGGAAGAGGGACGTGCCAACCTGGTGCAAGGCGCCAGGGCTTGCCTGCAGCACTGGCTTTGCTCACCAGCACTCTCGTCTGCTCTCCCCCGCAGTCTTCTCTCTGGGAGGAGAGACGGGAAAGTGTCTTTTGAGGGGCAAGAGCCTTTCCTGTGACAGGTGGGCGAGCTTCAGGGTCCTGCTCGCCTTCATTTTTGAAGGTTTTCTTCACCACTTCCCTACGCACCCTTTTCTCCCAACGATCCTATTGGTTTTACTTACTAAAAACAAACTAAACAAACAAAAAAACAAGTTATGCTATAATATACTTTAATTACAGTTAATATACAGCTTTACAACGTTTGTTGAAGTTTTAAAATATGTCTCGGAAAAGTTTGTGTCTAACCCCAGTCTTAAGATATGAGTAAAACCAAAACTGTATGTATATGTAATAAATACCCAAATATGAAAATTTAGAAATAGTAAACAATTTGTTACACAAAATAAAGTAACTCACAAATGATAAATTTATTGAGCAGCAGCTATCTCTCAAAGGGTATTTGCTAGCTATAGAAAGGTTAGTAGACCATCCTTCACCTCCCCCACCCAGTTTTAATGTTTGGTTTCTTTATCTTTAAAATTACTACGTTTACTTATACCTCTCTTTCTCCCAAGGCTGCTATGAAATGATAGTTATCATTTACTATTTGAATATTTTATATAAAACATATTATATTCTTCTCAAACTTTGGTTAAGCATATTATCATAAATGATTCCATGATCTCCTAAATTATTTCTCTAAGAATACATGATCAATAATTCAGTAAAAATTACCTCTCTAAAATATTATGTAAGGAATCACTTTCATTGTAGAAAATTACAATGTAGAAAAAGTATGTAACAAATGTAGAAAACGTACATGTAGGAAATTTTAAAAATATATATTTTGATTTTTTTACAGGGAAGAAGGGATAGAGAGAAATATTGATCAGCTGCCTCCTGCACACCCCCTATTGGGGATGGGCCACAACCAAGATACATACCCTTGACCGGAATCAAACCTGGACCCTTCAGTCCACGGGCCAATGCTCTATCCACTGAGCCAAACTGGTTAGGGCCATGTAGGAAAATAAATTTTAAAAAAATATATTTTATTTATTTTCCACAGAGAGGAAGGGAGAAGGATAGAGAGCCAGAAACGTCAATGAGAGAGAAACATCTACCTGCTGCCTCCTGCACCCCCCCCACTGGGGATGTGCCCACAACCAATGTACATGCCCTTGACCGGAATTGAACCTGAGACCCTTCAGTCCACAGACAAACCCTCTGGTTTGGCGGAAAATTTTTAATGTAGAAAAATATTACAAATCTTCAGGCAATCGCTGTTAACGCGTGAGTCACTAACTGTTCACTCTGCCTCTCTCCACACTGTTGGTGGACGGTTGGCTTCTACCTCCTGTGGGCTCATGGTGTCCCCTGCCCTCAGCCACTGTGGAGTGGTGGCCAGCCCTGCCTGAGAGCCAGCGTCCTGCAGTCCAGTGCCCTGGCTGCTCCTTCCCCCTGGAGCCTCCCCTTCTGGTGCCTAAAGCGATGATGACACTGCAAATGGAGTGTTGAATACGAGGCCGGAGACATTGGCTCTAGGTTCTTGTATTCTGAGAAACCAATGAAAGGGAGAACACATCGCCTCATGTTGTTGTTGTTGCTTCCTTTCTCTCCCACTGCCACTCCTCACCTCCCCCCGTCCACCCATGTAGCTTAATGGTAGCAGCCTGGTATGTAACCTTCCTCATTTCTGTGCACTCACGTGTTTAATTGCACAGCCATGTCTCCGTTCCTTTCTGCTCATGTCACACAGCATGTATAGGGGTGCTCGCTTGCCATTCACTGTATAAAAATTGGATCACATTGAGTGTTCTTCTTTTGCTTTTCTTACCTGACAGTTGTAGAAATTCCTGTGTCAACAGGTGTAGCTCCAATTCATTCTCTTCAGTGGCCGCATGGTGTCCATGTGGACCCACTAGAGTCTTCCCACCCTTTCCCAGCGGACACTTGCTTTTTGTTAGTTTGTTCCATGAAAAACATGTCAATAGTTGACTGCTAGTGGAACGTGAGCATCTGTTTTATGTTTGTTGGTCATTAGGGCTTTCTTTTCAATGAAGTATCACATGTTTGTGTGAGTTAGATATAACAGTCTGAAATGTTTTCCTTCATCTGTGAAGCCTGTCAAACTTGTTAGTGGACCCCCAGTGTGTCTCAGCAGAAGGCCTTTTAGCTTCAGAGGAAAGTTTTGTAGTAATTTTTGACTCGGTAGTTACCAGTAGGTTTGCAAATTCACCAGTCGCATTAAATTATATTTGTTCCTTTTTTTTTCACCTTTGCACTGGTGATTATTCCATTTATTGTTGTGGTAGTTGAGATGATGAACCAGGCCTGCAGGTCTCTTCAATTTTTTCTTAACAATCGCTTCGTTCTTGTTTTGCAAGTTTTCCCTTCAGATTGCTCCACTTGGGTCCTTCTGTCTCTCCTGTGTAACACTATGAAAGCACACAGACAACACCCGTGAAGGGCAGTATTTTCATTTTGGATAAAACTTTTAGAACGAAACACTCAGACTAAAATTGTTAACATAGGAGAGAAAATATGACATTTAAGAAAAACTTAGGAGGGTTAAAACCAAGTTAAAAGTAAGGGGAGCGCAGGTTAGGGAGAAATAGACAAAGTGTAACACGTCCATTCTAGTTACATTTAGTTACTGGGAAAGGACAGTTGTCAGCATTTTTGTAATCATTAGAGAAGGTCAGTTCTTAAAGTTTTTAGTTATTAAACTTTGTGTAAAGTTTTATCCATGTTTACCTTCTACCAGATTCTTTAAAAGAGGAGAAAAAGAAAACATTTTCTAAAAATAATAAATAACCTCCTGGTTTGGTCTGAAGGACCAAAACAAAAGTCCTTGCCCTCAGGAAGATGGCAGTGACCTCCCGCTCGGAGCTGTTGGGTGTCACCACTGACCAGAGCCCTCCGAGCGCACAGAGCCCTCTCCGTTCGCAGAGCGCGTGGCCCTGTCGGTGGCCGAGGGTGGGCTTTGCCTGTGTGCTGTGTTTCCTCCTGGGAGTTACAGAGTGTTTTTGATGGAGGAAGGTTCGAATGTGTCCTACAACAAGAGTGTCGTTTCCCACAGTATTTGTATATAATATGGTTTTCTTGTAGAAAGGGTTTATTTTGGTCACCAGCAAATTAAGTCGCATCCTGGGTCATTTATCGCCTGGCATGGCAGTTTCCTGTTGACCCCTTTAACGTGTTGCCTTTGTCGCCATTTTCACTGGCAGCCATTCATCGGAACAGCCCCCGGCCTGTGAAGGTGCCGCGATGCCACAGCGACCCTCCTAACCCCCACCTAATTATCCCAACGCCGGAGGGATTCAGGTATGGAGCCTTTCTGGCCGGGCGCTCGCTCGGCGGGCCTCTGTGGCTGCTTGCTGCCGCCCGGGAGCGGGTCTCGCTCTGTGACTGTCTGCGTTGGCGCTCGCGTTTCTCAGCTCCTGCTGTGCTACCTGGAAGACAGTCCCAGCGCCTCAGCTGCAGGAGAGAGACTCGCCCTGTGGGCCTGTCACTTAACTCGTTCCTGAGCTTACGGCTTCCAGCTGCTCACTGCCCTCCGGCTTCGGAATAACTGTCTCCTTTCTCTCTGAACAATGGCCTTAGGGAGGCCTGTGGGTGTTCATAACATAACAAACATGTGAGAAACAGCACTTGGTGTCAGTTTAAACGCGGAAACAAGTGATGATCTGTCCAGTCTTGACCTTTACGTGTGTGTAACTCCAAGTGCACCTGCTGTGTGCGCTCAGCATCCTTAGTACGTCCCAGTACTGACTGTGGTGGCATTTCTGCATCTCGCCCTCATGGCCACTTTTTAAGAGTTAATTCACTTGTCAGTGTTTCCTAGGAAAGAACACATCTATGTTTTAAATATTGAGTTTGACATTAGGTGTGCTTTTTTCCCCCCAAAACCTAGACCTGAATCTCAACGAGTGCTTTACATTTTGTGTTGTAAGGCCCTTTCACTTGCCCTGTTGTATTTTTAACGGAAAACCCTGTGCGTGCCCACTCCCTCTGGCCTGTGTTCCTGAAGCTCTTCTTCTCGCCTTAGCACTCGGAGCGTGCCTTCGGACACGCGGAGCCACGGCCCCGCCAGTGCAGGCGGCGACTCCGCGCCACCCAGACCCACCAGCAGTGCCCAAGACAGCAGGTAGTCTTTCTCGCAGTGCCCTGCCCCTGCCCCTCCTGTGCTGTTCCGCAGTGGCCTTGGCCCTGAGTGTCCCAGACACAGACTCGGGGTCCCTCCCCGTGGTGCGTGTGGTGCTCTGGCCCGTGGCTCCAGGACCTGCCAGCACAAGTAGATAACCTGCCTGATTTAATATTTTTTTGGAACTGATAGTAACCAGAAAGACCAGAGCTTCTGCCAGTAGTAACTCTGGGGAGAGTATCAGAGGCAAGAGCCTGTCCCTGCCAGGCAGGGCGGGAGGAGTTTGGGGGCAGGGCCTTGATGCTAGGATGGCATCTCTTAGTCCCTTCAGGGGTGACTGTGTTTTTAAGGGGGTCACTTTTCTAACCAAGTTGCTTAATTTCTGTGATGCTTGGTGAGAAGTAGTTTGCAAAGTAGGAAGGGAGTGGTGGGGTTTGTGCCTCCTGGAGAATAGGTCTTTACCAGGGAGAGCTCTCACATGCTGGCGAGCCCCAGAGAGTAAAACCAGCTCCTACCCGGACCCAGGAGAAAGGGCACTGTTCTCCTCTCCCAGTCAGGACGGGGAGAGCCGGACCAGACTGTCCGCTGGGCGGGCTGGTGAGCAAGACTTCAGGGCCGCTGCGTGGACAGGAGATGACAGACTAACCTGTGTTTAGCCTTTGTAACGTCTGAAATCTCTAAAACATCTCCGTTCTTCTCTTAAGAGCAATAATAGTCCTAATTTTAGTGATAAATGTCTGTAACCTAAAAATCAATGTATTTTACAGCTTAAGCAGTTAACTAAAAGAGTTAAGTCGATTTGAACAAATTCCCATTTCTCCTCTATTTTTACGTTGAGAGCATTTCCTGGCCGGTGTTTCTTGTGCGTCCATGTCCCTGTGGGGTAGGAGGCTGTCTTGTCCGTCAGCGCAGTGCGGAGTGACGGGGCGGTGGGCCCAGAGCGCAGTCACAGTCGCGGAGGACACGCCCCCTCTGCTGCTCCGAGTGCACACGGTTTCTCCAGGCCGGGTGGGTGCGGGGCACAGTCCCCCTTTTTAGAGGCTCTTAGCTGTGGCTTGAGGCATTTATAAAGGTGGTAATGTGTACATTAAATGTATTTTACTTTCAAAGCTAAATGTCTTTTTATGCCTTTATAGGCCTTGGCTAGTAGATTTTAGCATCTTAATTATGTACACCCTTAGAATGGTCCTCAGTAGTTAGAAGTTTGTATGCCGCCTCTCAGGCCATTTTTCACAGAAGAATGGCATTTCCTTTGTACAGTCCTGGGTACAGGACAGTGGATAGAACAGCAAAGCCAAATGGAGCCGTGTCGCCTGGGGTTGTGTTCACTCTGCATCCCAGCCTCGCACGTGCTCAGTCTAACATGGGCCTCCGTCCCTCTGCCGGGAGCCTGTGGAGTGGGCCTCGGCAGACCGGCCGCACATGCCGAGAGCCGGGGTCGCCGTGCAGCCCTGCTTGGTGACTGCTGTGAGGCGGCAGGACGGTGCCCCCCACGCCTCCCCATTGGCAGAGGTGCAGCCAGTGCACTTGTACTGTGCCCCACAGCGTCCACAATGTTTCCGTTTGGTTTGGTTTTACTTAGGAAATAGTCATCTTGCTTATAAAATATTTTTACAGAGTTCTACTTGCCAAAACTGGCTCTTACTGGTTTGCAAAAAGTTGAATTGTTAATTTTTTAGGAATTTTGTAAGCCAGTTGTTACACCACGGAAATTGTCAAACTCTACAAGCCTCCCTGCCATCCCCTAAACTAGTTACTGGACAATTCCCAGGCATACCACTTCACTTAAGTACATTTTCTTGCCTTTTATCCTGGCAAACTCTGGGGACTCTTTTTGTCTCTGGAAATCAGGAGCATAGAGGTGCTGAGTGACTCCCCACGGTGCCCGTCCTGAGCAGGGCCCAGGAGCACCGTGATTTCCCACGAAGCAGTACCACGACCTGGACAGGCCACGGGCAGTAGGGCGTGCTGAATCAGGCTCAGCGTGCTGCCCTGGGTTGCAGATCCTAGGGGTGTCGGGAGCCGCGAGCCCAGAGCTGGTCTGTTCCGTAGACCACGTGGCTGACCCCGGGCCGGCGTCTGAGAAAGAGCATAAATGCTACCATACTTCACGGGGCACCATGAACACACACGACACTTGTTCCCAAACTGATGCCGTTTCATTTGGGATGATTTGTATTGGAATCTCAACTTCCTTACTCTTGGCTCTTACTCTTGATGGATTCGTTCTGGATTGCTGACCATTAACTTTTAACTTTCTTCTGGAAAAGCAGCGCATTCACTTTGTTCTTTGTTGTTAAGCTTTCTGCTCTCCTGCGCTTCTGCTTGGCTCCTGCTTGAGAACCCCCGGTTCCCGCTGCTTCCTTAGTCAGGCTGGAAGCTTCCCAGCCATGCAGTGACGTTGGCACTCCCAGGGTTAAGTGCACTGATGTAATTCGGTGATGGTTTTACATGTTAACTAGATTTGGCTAATGATTTTTATCACCCTGGACTTAAGTTGTGGAGCTTCCTATACATGTCAACACTTCAGTAAAGACTTTTGTTTTTATTTTGTTGTTTTTAACATAAAACAGTGTCTTACGCAGTCAGGTGTGAGGTTGTGCTGGCTGTGGAGGGAGGGAAGTGCAGCTCCCTCCTGCACTCCAGGGAGGGTCCCCAAGGCAGTGTCACTCATTTGGGACCACCAGGTCTCTGTCTGGAGCATCCTCTGTGCTGTCCTCTCCCCACTGGCGGCTGGATGTCTCCAGGGGCCCAGGTCACCCTCCACTGGGAACCCCTTGCTCTGAAGAGTCACAGATCTGTCATTTTGAGTTCCATGGAGTTGGTCACTCCGTTTTTAAAACGCCCACAACAGGGGTTCCAGTGTCCCTGAGAACGACCGGCTGGCTTCCGTCGCAGCTGAGCTGCAGTTCAGGTCCCTGAGTCGCCACTCCAGCCCCACGGAGGAGCGAGATGGTGAGTGTGGAGGTGTCTCCTGCATTCGCGGAACCTCATCTGTAGTTTGTGTCCCCTGTTACTGTGTCCGTGGCTTTTCCGGGGAAGGAGGGAGAAGCCAGGCTACATGGGAGGACTCGGTGCCGGGCACTCAGTTTTCTCTTAATGTTTTTATTGATTTCAGAGAGGAAGGGAGAGGGAGAGAGAGGGAAGCATCAGTGATGAGAGAGAACCATTGATTGGCAGCTGCCTCTTGCACGTCCCCTGCTGGGGATCAAGCCCACAATCCGGGCATGTGTCCTGACTGGGAATCGAACTATGACCTGGTTCATAGGTTGACGCTCAACCACTGAGCCAGGCGGGCTGGGCTCAAGCACTCAAGCTTTTTAATTTAGGTGCCTTTTTAGCTGTGTTTGCGTTTTCTAGGTCTCCTTTTGTTGCTTTTTAAAAAATCATTATCCCTGCCGAAACCGGTTTGGCTCAGTGGATAGAGCGTCGGCTTGGGGACTGAAGGGACCCGGGTTCGATTCCGGTCAAGGGCATGTACCTTGGTTGCGGGCATATCCCCAGTAGGGGGTGTGCAAGAGGCAGCTGATCGATGACTCTCTCTCATCAATGTTTCTAACTATCTCTCTCCCTTCCTCTCTGTACAAAAATCAATAAAATATATTTTTTTTAAAAATCATTATCCCTGATATTTTAGTTGTTAAGCGTTCTTATTCTCTTTACAAGTGCAGAAGTGGTCGTGCTGGAGTTTTGTTATAACGCAGACCGAGCCGTCCACCCAGGACCCGTGGTGGCTCACCGGACTGCTGCCGGGCTCCTAAGCAGGACCGCTCCGGTGCAGTCTAGGTCCTCCAGCTCCTGCTCAGAGTTAGGCTTCCGGTTACTTGTGGGAGGTTTATGGAGCGGAAGTTGTAACACCATTAGCAGGTCTTAATTGGTGCGATTTTCTGGAACTGATTGTAGAGACAGCTTCTCACACTCACAGCAACCTAGTTAATCAGCAGGAGGACAGGCTGGTGGTGGCCTCATCACACGCTCAGCCTTGCTCTCAGTTAAGTAAGCAGATTTGCTCTGTGTCTTCATTTGTATGAAAAATACTCTCTGCAGAACCAGCCTATCCAAAAGGTGATTCGAGTGGGTCGACCCGAAGAAGTTGGGAACTGCGGACGCTGATCAGCCAGACTAAAGGTAAAGGAAGAATGTTTAGTTTAAAATGCTCCTGAGCTGGGAGCAATTTCAGCGACGGTGCTTTAGCTTCCAGCCATTCAGCCTGCAGGTTAGAGTTGGGGATCTCTGTCTGCAGCTGACTCCACTTTCTGCCTGTGCTTTTGCACCCATTTCTTGTTTCTTTTTTTTTTTTATCCTATATAATAAAACCCTAATATGCAAATTGAACGGCAGAAAGACCGGTCATTATGATGCGCACTGACCAGCAGGAGGCAGACACTAAACGCAGGAGGTGCCCTCTGGTGGTCAGTGTGCTCCCAAAGGGGAGTGCTGCTCAGCCTGAAGTCGGGCTCACGGCTGGCAGGTGCACTGGTGGTGGTAGGAGCCTCTCCCACCTCCACAGCAGCTCTAAGGACCCCTAGGGGATGTCCACCTGCCAGCTTAGGTCCACTTCTGCCGGCAGGCCAGCAGGTGGACATCCCCCAAAGGGTCCTGGACTGTCAGAGGGTACAGGCCAAGCTGAGGGACACCTTCTCCCATTCTGCCCCCCAGTGCACAAATGTCATGCACTGGGCCTCTAATGTGTGTGTGTGAGTAAATATATATAAGCAGTGCTCTCCAGGTTGTGGGCGTCGCCCCCTAATGGGAAGTAAAGTCAGAATGAAAAACAGCCTGGGGGAAAAGTAACAATGCTATGAAGCTGCTGTTTTAGATGCCACATGTGCGAAAGAGACATCTCGCTGTAAGCTGTGGTAAAATACATTGCAGAAACAGAGCCTGATGGGAAATAGAGAATCACAGGAGCCAGAGCTTACTGCGTTTTCCTGAATTCCAGGCAGGGGGCCCAGCACTTTCCACGAGTGTTTTCATTAGTATTGTCCCCTGCAGTTCAAGGATCGGGAATTTGACATGTAGCAAGTCCAGTGAGTTGCCCTCTGTCAGACCCGAGCACACGGAGGGGGCCCTGTTCCTGCCTCAGGTTGCAGAGCTCTCACTCGGCCCCTCCCAAGTGAGGCGGGGACCCCTCCTCATACGAGAGGGCTTCCGGGGAGGAGCGGTGCTGCTGAGTGGCCTGCGGGGGGGCCCCGGGATGGAGGACAAACAGGACGACGTGAGCAGGGGCCTGGTGAGAAGCAACGGGGTGCCCCCTGAGGGTCTGTAATGTGACTCGGAGGCTGTGGCCGGACAAAGGTCTGCGTTGTGCAGGACTGGAGGCCGTCGGAGGCCTTTGCGTTTGTGATGAACGGTGTGGTGGCCCGGGAAGTAAGTTCACATGGGAAGGTCAGGCGATCGGATTTCGTTTTTAGTAAGGTAATTGTGGCCAATGAGCGTGGTGGGAGAGAAGGGAGACGGGGGCCGGAGAGGGTCACGGCAGCAGTCTAACCACCAGCCTCGGGAGGTGGACTGCCTGGACGGGCTGTGTCTCGTGCACGTGGGGGTAGTGGGTGTGTGCTTGGGGCTGTTCGACCACGATGGCCATGCGTGGCCTGCGGGGCTGTGTGTGAGGAGGGCCAGTGCACATGGCTCTGATTTCTGACGATTTGCTGGGGATTGACTTGATGATGGTGACTGACCGAGTGGGCGGTTCTCCCGCAGACACCGCTTCCAAACAAGGGCCCATGGAAGCTGTGCAGAAGTCAGTCCGGCTGTTTGAGGAGAAGCGGTACCGAGAGATGAGGAGGAGAAACATCATCGGCCAAGTGTGCGACACCCCCAAATCGTACGATAACGTCATGCATGTCGGCCTGAGGAAGGTGACCTTCAAGTGGCAAAGAGGAAACAAGATCGGTAAGGAAACTAAAGAACACGACACGTTCGCTCCGGTAGACACAGCAGTGGCCATGCTTCTCCGGAGAAAGACGCGTGTTGCGGCCTCTCTCACATGTGCAGCAGGTCTTTCGCAGGGGTTCGGGGTTTACCTTGGATTGCTCAGGGAAGCTTAAAACAGTACATTTATTCCCTGACGTGTAAAATGTGACAAACGAGGTTCAGAAAGATGGCGAACTGCAGGGCTTGAGTCCAGTTTGCTTCATTAAGTGGCTAGGTTTGCTAGTGCCCCGGCATTGCCAGTGGGGAGTGGCATACCTGTGCCATTTGCCTAGTCTGTGCGCTCTCTTATCCCCACACGCACAGGATCGGAGAACTGGGCCAGGTAGACAGGCCGCCTTTTCTAACCGCAGCCGATTCTTTTCTCGGGGAAGAACTGGGGGGAGGTGGGGGGAGAAGGCGCCTGCCTGTCCCGCAGGTCCTGCCGCCCACATGCACTTCCCGCCGAGCAGCTGGGGGTGAAGAGGCAGGCACTCTCCGCCCCGGAAGCCCGAGCTCCCCGCTCGCGGCCAGGCCCCCTGCAGGCCATGTGCCAGGACACGTGGCGCTCCCCGTCAGGCCTCTGCGGTTTTGCCAGTCCGTCCCTGGTTTACAGTATCTGCAGGGACGACGGGAAGAGCTGGCCTGGGACCTCACTTATTAGGGACAGTCACATCTCTGGGCACAGTGAGGGCTGTGAATACAGCTCCGTTCGGGAAAGTGAGTCCTCGTTGGCGTGCGTGAACACAGCCTGGCATGGTAACCGAGAGCTGCCTGTGTCCCCGCACAGGAGAAGGGCAGTATGGGAAGGTCTACACCTGCATCAGTGTCGACACGGGCGAGCTGATGGCCATGAAGGAGGTGAGTGGCCCTCGGCCTGCTTGTCTGACGCCTCTGGGTGGAGGTGTGGTGAAGCAGCGTGTGTGGCTGAGGTTCGTGGTAGCGCTGGCTTCACAGGGCTGGTTGGTCTGCAGCTCCTTTAGCATTAGCCTGTGGGGCAGCCGGCAGCTGCGCCGAGGCGACGTGAGAGCAAAGGAGGTCGGGGCCCAGGGAGAGAGCAGGAGCACAGCGGGTGTCCCCTTGGCTGTCCGTGCCCGCAGGGACGGGGTTGTGGTGAAAGCTCGGAGGGGGGATACAGCATCTCACAGGGTCCTTGGGGAGGAGATAACATTTGTGACCAACGTCAGAAATGGCAGCCTTTTCTCCGCGGGCTTAAGGGGGACGGACGGGAAACCTGGGGATGGGCCGTCAGGGAAACCAAGGCCGTTGTCCCCGAGGAGGAGGCGCCTTCTGGCTCCGAAGGGGGGGGGGGGGGGAGGCAGTGGCTGGAGAGGCTGGGGGTCCTGCTGCTGCACCCCCCCTGTGCTCTAGCCTCCGTCGCCTCCTGGGGCCAGCCTCAAAGGGCCGAATCCACCGTAGCTCTGCGTCGTGCTCGGAACCTGCCACGGGGATTGCTCATGGCTCTGCAGGGTTTGAGTCCAGTTTGCCTGTGAGATGGTTCAATCGGCTGTCGCCTCACCAGGCGTTCCGCAGTGGGCGCGCTGAACTCACTTGGGAAGCAGCCTCGGAAAGAGCCTGGGAGTGAGGGCACAGACCGCCGGTCCTGGGGTCGGGCTGTGCGCGGTCTGCGCCCCAGGCTTAAGGCTGCCTGAGCTCGCTGGCCACCGCACCAGTAATGAGCAGCTTCCTCTCCCAGATCCGGTTCCAGCCTAACGATCACAAGACGATCAAGGAGACCGCGGACGAGCTGAAGATATTTGAGGGCATCAAGCACCCCAACCTGGTGCGCTACTTCGGAGTGGAGCTGCACAGGGTAGGGGGCTTCAGCCACAGCGTGCGAGCGCGGGGCGGGGGCCCCTACATCACAGCCTCCCATTGCAGTCGCTTTCCTGGTTACCGGGAAGCCTGCCTTCCCTCTGACAAGGTTCTTCCTCAAGTGTAAGGTGTAGCTGTGGTCCCCCGACAGTAGCAGCCGCTGAGCCCATCCCGCCAGCCAAGCTCTCCCGAAAGGTCCCGCTCCTTCCTCTCCTCCACCGGCTGCGGCACCGCGGGCGCAGGGCGCCGTCAGCGGTAGCCTTTGTCCTGGGTGTGACTCAGGAGCCATGGGACCTGAGAGAAGCTACAGCCTCGGTGCGTTCTCCTGATTGGAAACAGCACTGAGGGAGAGGAACGGAGCATCTTGGTGGATTAGGAGCTTCCAGGGAAGTTGGGTGTCGGTGGTTTTAACGTTTCCCACTTAGATTCCTAGTGAAGAGGACCATTTCAGGGGTTACGAACAGAGGCTCGGGCAGCCTGCTGGCGTCTGTCTGAGATCACATAGGGCTGCGTTGGGAGGACACGGACACGCATCCCCTGTGACTGGAGGTACACTCCTCCCGAGGGCTCCAGACAGGCGGCAGGCACTGCTGTCGGGGTCGAGGTCAGGGTCAGGACTACAAGTGTACAATCCATTAGAGAGATGTCCGTGGCGCCGTCTGATCTGCACTTGAGTGCGGGCCCATGCGCTGCTTTCGTTGCTTAGGAGGAGATGTACATCTTCATGGAGTACTGCGACGAGGGCACGCTGGAGGAGGTGTCCAGGCTGGGTCTCCAGGAGCACGTCATCCGGCTCTACTCCAAGCAGATCACCGTGGCGATCAACGTGCTGCACGAGCACGGCATAGTGCACCGCGACATCAAAGGTAATCCCCGACGCCGGGCCCTCCCGCCTTCCCGGCACAGCCAGGGCTGAGGCTGTGGCAGTGGGTGTGCTCTGAGCCGGAAGCCGCTCTGTCTGGAGTGACCGTCCCCTATCGACGCCCTGCTGGCCGGGCCCTCACGGGACACTCACCATCAGAGCCTCCGCGGGGGCCTCTGTCTTGGTATTTGACCATTGGGAGTGCAGAGTGACCGTGAGGCAGCAACGCTGAGCCGTCGTGAGGAGCAGCCCCACGTGAGGCTGCTGCTGATGCGGGCGGCGCGGCCCAGCTTCGTCCGTGGAGCGCTGTGAGGGCTGATGGGCTCACACTGGTGGGTATAGGGCAGGGGCCGGCAAACTCATTCGTCCACAGAGCCAAATGCCAACAGCACCATGATTAACATTTCCTGTGAGAGCCAAGTTTTTTAAACTTAAACTATATAGGTAGGTACATTGTTATTAACTTCATTAGGGTCCTCCTAAGCTGGCCTTTGCTAAAATCTCAAGGGGCCAAAGAGCCGCATGTGGCTCAAGAGCCACAGTTTGCCGACCACTGGAATAATGCGCTCCCCAGGCCCAGAGAACAGCCTCAGGGCATGGCCTTGCACATCGTGGCCCTCACCTGAGGGCTGGCGTCTTGGGGATAATAAAGCAACAAATCCCTGCTGCCTCTACTCGGCCCTTGGCTGAGGACCCCGTTCTGTCGCAGTCGGAGGCCAGTCAGAACACGCTCACTCTGGAGCTGGCTGGCCCCACTGGCAGCAGACCTGGTGTGGGGTGGGCCCCTACCCCCCCGCACATGGGGTCTTGTTGCCTGCCTCCCGGCCTCCACCTGGCTCTTTGCCGGGTCCCGGCATTACCCGTTTCCAGTTGCGCCATAAATGCCATATTCAGCCTCTGTCCACGGTCATGAAGTGGAACCTTCATGTCGTTGGCAGTGGCCATGTGCCATGTGGACCAGCTCCGGAAGCGGGGCCCCCCACAGGGCCGCCTGCACGGGGAGCACCAGGCCATGAGTATTGGCTCCTCGCACGCTGCTTGTCTAACCCCGTGGCTGCATTGCTTTCCCAGGTGCTGCCCAAGACCAGGAGAGCAGAGATCAGGCTCGATTGGGGCGGAGTTCCCTTGTAGCAAAGGCATTGGCCCTAGCAGGAGCGGCCAATAGGGAGACAGTTAGACGATCTTTGCCATCTCAGGCTAAGCCGCGCAGTAGTGGCCGTGCCAGGCCATAGGACAGTGTGGGCACAGCTCTTGTCTGCTGTGGTTCCCCGTCCCAGGAGCTGCTAGCTGCGTGCACCTCACTTTCAGGGCTGCCCCTCAAGCCTGTTTCCTCGGTAACGTCTCCAAGTAGCTCTGGGTTGGTGTTGGCATCTGTGCACGTATTTCAGCTCGGGGAGTGTTGGTCACCGGAATCTGCACTTCACGCTAAAATTGCTTTGCTTTGTGTTGATGTTTGTGACTAACACTTAAAATCCTTCATAGTTTCATAAACTCTTCTATCACTTCGTTTGTAGTCAAGGTAACCGTGTCAACTTTAAACTTATTCTTCCTTAGGTGCCAATATCTTCCTCACCTCGTCGGGACTGATCAAGCTGGGAGACTTCGGGTGCTCGGTGAAGCTGAAGAACAACGCGCAGACCATGCCCGGGGAGGTGAACAGCACGCTGGGGACCGCAGGTGGGCCGGCTGTCTGTCTGCAGACTCCTCCCTCCCGGTGCTGGATCACCGGCCTTCCTTTTGCCTCTTGTCAGCACGGACCTGGGCAGCAGGTCGTTCTAACCTGTCGGGGACCATGCCCGCAGACACCAGCCTCCGAAAACATGTCAGACTGAGGAGGTGCAGGAGCGGGAGAGGCCTCTGCCCATTCACACTGGGCGCATAAAACATTCTGGTCAAAACAATACTGCGTTTAAATGTAATCACTTGTTTTGACCAATTAGTTTCACAAACCTCTACATCCTCCTTTTCAGGTTATATTTTAAATTTTCATTGTGAGTACAATTTATCTGAAAATGTGTACATTGAAAAACTCTTTTAGAAGATAATTTGTCCCCTAAAAACGTCCATTCAGGAAATTGATATGAAGTCCCTACTCAAGTTGCCCTGTTTGCGAGTATGTAATTGGGGAAATTCCCCTCCACATACTGTTACTTTTTCCCTGCGGAGGGGGTGAGGCTGCCTGGCTCTGCTGCATGGGGCTGTGTGGATCAGCCATTCCTATCATCACATCTGTGACCTCCACAGCGTACATGGCTCCTGAGGTCATCACTCGTGCGAAGGGAGAAGGTCACGGGCGTGCGGCTGACATCTGGAGCCTCGGCTGTGTGGTCATAGAGATGGTGACTGGCAAGGTGAGCAGAGCCCACTGGGGGGAAGCTGCAGGGCACCTGTTCTGGTTCATTAGGAACTCTGCTCTTCCACAGCAGAGAAAGGGAAAGACAAGGGAAGACTGGGATCAATGTAAGACCTGTCATTTAGAGAACTCTTAAAAGTGAATAAAAAGGCCTGCGTTAGAACACAGAGAAGTAAGCAGATACAGAAAGAAACACGAAGTGGAAAACTTGTCCACACAAAACGGGCACATAAATCAACTTTATTCAGAATCGTCCAGGCTTCGAAGCAGCCAAGGCCTTGTGGCAGGTGAGTGGATGAACACACTGGCCGTGGTGCTGAGGAATGTGATGCGGCGATGAAAACGCACTGTGGGCTGCGGAGCCGTGCGGGGCGCTGAGGAGGAGCCCCTGAGCGGATTGCTGGTGCAGGTGGCCGCCGCGAAGCCCAGCCCCACCCAGGCCGGAAGGGGCCCGCGGTCGCCGGGGTGCGCAGGAGGGCGGACAGGTCAGCGCCAGGGTTGCTAGGGCAGTGGAACTCCTGTGTGGTTCTGAATCTGACAATCGGTCTTCCTGGGAAGATACATTAATGAGCAATTACACAAATGTATAAAGATATTGTGTGTGTGGCATTGTTTGGGAAACAAAAAAGTTAGAGGTCACGTAATTGTTATTAATAGGAAATTAAATCAATATACAGCTGTACTTTGCAACTGCTGGAAAAAGACCACGCAAAATGCTTACTAGATATTTGCTAATATTATCTTTAACAGAAAGCTGGCCATCCCTGGCCAGTGTGCTCAGTGGGTTGGGCACTGTGGATGTGCGTTGTCCCATGAACCAGGAGGTCACCAGTTTGATTCCTGGTCAAGGTACAGCCCAAGTTGTGGGCCTGATTCCCAGGGGGGTGTGCAGGAGAGAGCTGATTGATATTTCTCTCTCAACAATGATTCTGCCTCTCTCCCTCTCCCTTCTTCTCTGAAATCAATTTTAAATAAAGGAAAGAACTACAGCCATGATTCCTGCTACTTTAGTCCAGCCACACACCCGAGGAAGAGGGAGTTCTCACATGTCAGTCAGCAGTGGTCACAAATAAGGGTGACAGAACAGACTGCATTGTTTCCCATAAGTCTCCTTTTTCCCGTGATCATAATAAAATAAGCTTTGCAGTAATAGAATTTGATGCTCTTTATTTAGCAAGGCAGCCTATTAACACCCTAGTGGTAACTGTTGCATTTTGGTTTGTTGGCATTTTCATCTCACTTTATGTATTGCATTTTTTACTCGCATGATGATGGCATCTCGATGATGCTGGATTGACATCCACGTGGGAGGCAGACTGTGCCCCCCCTGCTGTGCCAGTTGTTTTACTGGACCGTGGCCACACACTCACATACATGAGGTCTGAGGCTGTTTTCCTGCTGTGCTGGGAAAATTGAGTGACAGAGACCATGGGCCCAAAAGCTGAAATATTTATTAAATATTAGACCCTTTAAGTAAGTTTGCCAGCTCCTGATATATATAGGGTGTCCCCCAAAATGTCCATGTACTTTGAGTAATTATGAAAGTAGTGTTTATTAACGTACATTTCACGTTCAAACTGAGCTCTCAGCTGTTGAGGTCTGGTCACACTTTTTGGAGGAGAAGCCTAAAAAAAGATGGAGAACTTGCCTTTTTTATGACCATGTAGCACTAAAACCTTTCTGTTCTCTTTCTAGAGGCCTTGGCATGAATATGAACACAACTTCCAGATTATGTACAAAGTGGGCATGGGGCACAAGCCCCCGATCCCTGAGCGGCTGAGCCTGGAGGGCAAGGACTTCCTCTCCCACTGCCTGGAGAGCGAGCCGCGCCTGCGCTGGACGGCCAGCCAGCTCCTCGACCACTCCTTCGTCAAGGTGCGCTGCCCGCGGCTCCCACAGGGAGTGTCTGCACTGACATGGAAGGGGCGTTAGCTACGCCGGGAAGCCTGGCTTTGGGGGGATGTCCATGGTGTGCTGCCCGGTCCCTTGGGTGGTGGAAGAGGTGCCCTGCACTGTGAGGGCGCCGGCGGGGCATTAGTGCGGGGCTGCTGACTGCTCCCTGCTGGCAGTGGTCTGCCGAGGACAGGACGGGCTGGCCTCCCTGAGGAGCGGAGAGGCCCGTGGTCGGACCACGTTGGCGCTGCGGTCACGGCGTGGCCCTGCCGTAGGGTCCGGTGATCCCGGGCGCCCCTCTCTAGCGTGAGGTGGGAGCTGCTTGGGAAGGTTTGGCCGGGCCCTCTGGCTCCTTAACCTCCTCACCCTGGGCACCTCAGGAATGGTGGGGTGGCAGACGGAGTGGGAGAGCAGCAGGCACGCTGCTAGGAGGGAAGGACTGCCAGGAACTGGGGAGGTGAGTGGGTGCTGACAGCGCAGAACAGGGCCAGACTGGGCGGGCCCAGGAGGAATTCCACTTTGTCACTAGTGTGACACAGTGAGGCGAGGGCTGCCCGCCAGGCGCCGTGGGCACAGGACGGCCGGCCTGCGGTCTGGTGGGCGCAGCGGGCTCAGCTCCCCGTCCCGCAGGTCTGCACGGATGAGGAATGAGCGGAGCCGCTGCGCTGGGTGTGCACGGGAGACGTCACTGCTGTGTGACATCACACACGCTGCTGTGTGGCGTCACATGAAGATGCTGGGAGTGCAGGCCTCCGCCCAGGCCGGCTGCACGGACGCCCTCCGCTCCTGCGTGTTCTCCTGGCCGGGCCGAGTGGTGTCCACGAGGTAAAGAAGCTCCACGCTAAGTGCCATTTCTACTGTACACGGACTGGCGCCTCGTCCCCGTTCTCCGAGGCGGGCCGGGACGTCCAGTACTCAGTCCGCTTGGTGCAGAGCCGGCCGTGTCCGGTCCCGGCCTGCCCTCCGTCTGCCCAGTGCACTGACTGAACTGCCCTGGAGGCGGCGGCAGCCGCGGGTTTGTCAGCAAAAGGCTGATGAATGAAATGGAAGAAAAAGGCTCTTTTTTCAATAAATGGTCTATTTTAGGAAAGTGCAGCTGCCTTGTCTTTTGTAGCCTGTCAGCCTCGAAGCAGGTGTGCCCCGGGCGGCGGTGGGCACTGGAGGGGGAGGGCACAGGCGGGGGAGGGCATTAGGGGGGGAGGGCATAGGCAGGGGGAGGGCACCGTTGGGAGTGAGTCCTGCAGATCCGAGCCCTCAGCACAGGGAAGAGCCATGCACTGCCAGGGCGGGGAGGGCAGCGGGTCTGAGACCATCTCATTACCAACAAGCTGTGCCCGGTTCCTCGGAGAAGCGGGGCTAACCCCTTGCTGGGCCTGACGGGGAGTGCCCTCTGACCCTCCCTGGTCTCACACATCTGAGTGAGTTGGGAAGCCCCTGCACCTACAGTCTGTCTGGGGACCAGCCAGACCCTGTTCCCCTCAACAAGGAGCAGCCAGGGCTGCCGGGCCCTTTCTGTGCCCCGTACATCAGCTGCTGATGGGTGTGTGGCTGGACCAGCGGTCGGCAACCTCATTCAGCAGAGCCAAATACCAACAGAACAACGATTGAGATTTCTTTTGAAAGCCAATTTTTTAAAACTTAAACTGCATAGGTAGGTACATTGTTATTAACTTAGAGTACTCCTAAGCTGGCCTTCGCTAAAAACTCAAGGGGCCAAAGAGCCGCGTGTGGCTTGTGAGCCGCAGTTTGCCGACCACTGGGCTGGACAGTTATCAGGATTTGACATCCAAGTCCCTGTTTTTCAGGTCCACTTAACGACTGTATCTGAAACACACTAATGTGTGGGCTTTTTTTTAATTTTTAAACACCAGCAGCTACTTTTACAAGGTTTTTGTGTGCATTTGTTTAGACTAGAGCATTAGTTAAGTATACAATTTTACCTGTATATTCCCAAAAATTCTAGTTTAGCACTTCTTAGTTGGGATTCAGGAATCTGTATATTTTAACAACTCTACCAGGTGATTATCATCATGAGAGAAGTTTGGGAAACACTGGCTTAGAGAACACAGCGGTTGAGAGCTATTCCAGCATGACTGACCTTAAGGACAGGTGTCTGCTAAGAAGTAAACTGGGTACACAGCTCCTGCTCCGAGGTCCGTCACGCCCCTCCCGGCTCCCAGGCTGGCGCTTGCGGTCTTGGTGCCTGGTGTTCTGAATGCCTCCCTGCCCCCAAGCCGCATTGCCCTCCCACCACAGTCACACTGTGCTGGTCTCTGCCTCCCTGGGTGTCCGTGGGGCTGACCTGAGCTGAGGAACGGTGAGACGTGTCTGCCTCACCCATGGCAGGACGGAGGGGCCTGTGTGAGCACCACAGAGGAGCCAAACACGGAGTGCTTTTTTGGAGGCATAATTTAATCGTCTCACCTACACGCCTTCGCTCTACCGGCCGTCAGGGGTACAGGAAACAGCACCAAAGGATGAAAGGGACTCGGTCGCTCCCCACCCCTGCCGCCCCCCCCCCCCCCCCCCACGCGCCGGACACCGCGGCCGATGTCAGGACAGGGCTGGAGGCAGCCTCGCACGCTCACCTCGTGTCCTTCCTCACGCACGCACACTCGCACGCATACAGGAAGGGAACCGGCACCCACCACAGCACGGGGGAGGGCAGGCCGGCGGCGTTGAGCACAGAGGCCCTGCCTCCCAGCAGGCACTCGCCCAGTGCCCTGGCCAGCCGCATGGGAGGCCCCACGGCGCCCGCCCGTGCCCCGAGGGCCGCTCAGGAGGGGGCGTGTCCTGGTCAGTCCTTCTGCTTCTGCTTGCTGTCCATGTTGCCGTAGGCAGAGCCCTTGTCGATCTCCGTCACGCCGATCATCCATCGGACGCCCATGGAAGCTGCAGGGGAAGGCAGGGGTGAGGGCTGCGGGACTCCAGCAGAGCAGACGGGTCTGGGTGCCATCCATCCTCCCTGCCCGGTTCCCCGGAGCGCGGGCACGGTGCTGGCCGGAGCAGGTGACACAGGGAGCAGCGGGCTGTGAGGGCCCCGGGTCTGAGCCCTCCCCAGGTCAGAATGGCCAGCCTTGTCCGCTGCACGTGGCTGACAGAAGGCACAGGAGTCTGGTGGCTCAGGGAGCTCAGTAAGGCTCATACCGGAGCCTGGGAATGGGGGCTCACAGTGCCCGCATGACTCCGCTGCCTGGGACACGTGGCCTCCCTCCACCAGAGGACGTGGGGGGCTCAGGAAGCCGGTGGGACGGGGAGCTGGGAGCTGGGAGCAGGCTGTCCCGCCCAGAAGCCCACAGGGGGCGTGCGCAGGGCCGGGAAGCGGTGGATGGGCCCGCACCCCACACCGCTGAGCTGTGCCCTGGACCTGCACTGCCAGCCACTCACCCACGAAGAAAACGAGGACGAAGCCGGCCAGCGTGAGGGAGGAGCCGCTGCTGACCATGCTGACCAGGAAGCGGAAGAAGGGGTAGAGCAGCAGTGAGGCCCAAAAGAGCCAGTTGAGCAGCGTCCAGGGCCGCCTCGGGGGCACCATGGGCGTCTCGGGGAAGGTGCCCGTCCGGTAGTACTCCTCCTGGAAGGCGTCCTGGGGACAGAGAGGGACCTGAGTGCTCTGCTGACCCCTCCGGAAGGCTCCTGCAGCCCCCGAGGCCCTCTTCCCAGGGGGAGGACCAGCCGCGCCCCAGAGGGCTCCTGCAGGCACCCAACGGGCTGTCCCTTCCCACTGTGACACCTGGAACTGGTCACTGAGTCCAAGTCCGCCCTGCTCTGCTCCCTGTGGCCTCCCCGACCTGGGCAGGTGACCAGCCTGAGGCCCAGGCCTCTGGGCAGCCATCCCATCCTCACGGGTGGGTGGGGAAGGAGAACCGGCCCTCAGTGAACCCCGGGAGCCCGCAGCCCGAACCCACCCCCCCCACTGCGCCTCCCCCACCCCCCTGCTTTCTGTTCACATGCGGGTGCGGAGGAGACCAGGGAGGCTTTGCTGTTGGCCTCCTCCATAACCGTAGTGACCATGCGACTCCAGACGGCCTGAGGCCCATGGCCTCCTGCGGGACTCCCACCGCCGGCCCTGCAGGGACTTTTATAAAAACTGAGCCGAAACCGGGGGCCAATGCCAGGAATGCCCTTATGAAGGAGACCCTGAGGCCCCCTCCCTCCGAGGACAAGGGCCAGGACCGGAGTCAGACGATGGCCGGTGGCACCCTGAGCTCGGACTCCTGGCTATCCAGCCTCCACCCCGTGTCCGTGTCCAAATGTCCCCGTGTACGCCTTGCACCGAGCAGGCCCAGCCAGTGCGATGGCGGCACCCGTGGGCTGTGTCTACAGGCGAGGGATTGGCGCACCCAGAGCCACAGCCGAGAGCGGGACTGGGCTCCGGGTGCCGCCGTCCAGGGTGCTCGCAGCCCAGGAGCGCGAGGGCCACAGACAGCCTCTCGGCTCAGCGCCACCCAACCACGGGGCTTCCCATCTTAATGACCCAATTCCTTCACAGCCGCACAGTCAGGTGTCAACAATTCACTGTGGGTGCCCGTCGGCGCCCGCCTGCCCTGGACGCCCCGGTTCTCTCAGAGCCGAGGCTTCTGGGAGACGCCTCCATGGACGGCAGAGCCTGGGTTTCTCCCTCTAACGACTGGGACGGAGACGGCTGAAGTGCATTGCCCTCTCCTTCCCAGCCCGGTGCGGCGGCAGGGGTGGGTGATGTGCTTTCTGGCCACTCAGACTCGTGGAAGACCCTGCCTCTCCCCGGGTGATCAGGACCCCCTCCGCGCCTCCCCGGCCCGGCCCAGACCTGCCTCTTCGCCGCCGCCTCCCCAGGAGCAGCTGGGCCGTTCTCCGGAAATCAGACAGCCGGGCAGTTATAGGACAGCGGGCTCCTGTGCCCACTGCCCGCCCCCCAGAGCTGGCCACCTGGACACATCTTACCAGGAAGTGACAGTGACGTGTGGGAGGCCCCAGAGGGCACCTGGCTGTGCTCAGGCCCCTCATGCCGCCTCCCTCCATCAGCCCAGGGTGGGGCCACAGGAGCCCGGTAACTAGGCGGAGGGGTACCCAGGGCCAACTGTCCAACTAGATCTCCTGAGCTGAAGCCTAACCCCTGAGGTGATGGTCTCAGGAAGAGGGGCCTTTGGGGGTGTAGCCCTTATGGAGACCCCCTCCGAGGACGATGGCCGTCGGCACCCTGAGCTCGGACTCCTAGCCCCCAGCCTCCACCCGGTGAGCCTCCCCAGCCCCCTAGCTCCACACCCTCCCAGAGCCTCTGACACACCCCAAGGCAGCGCAGGGCAGAGCGTGGCTGCTTCCACCACTCAGTAATTTTCACTGTTAGCGGCTCATTTCCAGCCCCTTCTGCTAGCCAGGCGGCAGCCCAGGCAGCACCTGGTTGGGAAGGAGAAGTGGAAGTGGGAGGGCTCTGGGGAAGGTATGCGGCTAAGAACGCCAGGCCTGCAGGGACTTTTATAAAAACTGAGCCGAAACCCGTGTGGATCCGTGGATAGAGCATCGGCCTGCGGACTGGAAGGTCCTGGGTTCGATTCAGGTCAAGGGCATGTACCTTGGTTGCGGGCACATCCCCAGTGGGGGGCATGCAGGAGGCAGCTGATCGATGTTTCTCTCTCATCGACGTTTCTAGCTCTCTCTCTCCCTTCCTCTCTGTGGAAAATCAATAACATATATTAAAAAAAAAAAAAAAAAAAAAAAAAAAAAGGGTATCTGAGCCAAACAGGCCATGCCTGGAAGGGGCACCACAGACGGGAAAGCGGGAGGTGCTGGGCGCAGGGGGCGCATGGGAGCAGGCGGACCTGGAGGCGGAGCAGGCAGGTGGGATGGGGTTGCGGATGGTTAACAAGACGGTGCTCTCGGGGCCGTTTATTCCAAAGGCGTGTGACCTCGATGCACAGAAACCATGAGCGGAGCTTAAGGCCCGTAACCTTGCACTGGAGTCGGAGGTCTGGGTGACGGCACGGCCTGCCCAGTTAGGAGTTTGTGAGGCCGCTCCACAGAGCCCTCTCCGTCCCCCGCTGGCTGCGGCTCCCAGGAGCTGGCCGGGGAACGGCTGTGCTCCCTAAGGCCACACCCCACAGCCAGCGGGAGCCCCAGTGCCAACCAGCAGTCACACCTCCGTTCTGGAATGTCTCAGCCACGTGATTCACGGGAAAATGTCTCAGTTGTCGAAGACAACTTCAGTTCTTGACCCAATAGCCCTCTCACTGACGCCTGTGTGGTCAGTCACTCGTCTCAGGTGACAAAAGAGAGAATGTGTGGGTTAGGGTTAGGGTCAGGGTCAGGGTCAGGGTCAGGGTCAGGGTTAGGGCTAGGACTAGGACTAGGGCTAGTGTTAGGGTTGGGCTAGGTTTAAGATTAGGCTTAGGGCTAGGGTTAGGGTTCGAGCTAGCATTAGGGTTAGGGCTAGGTTTAACATTAGGGCTATGATTAAGGTTAGGCCCAGGGCTAGGGTAAGTGTCATGGTTATGTTTAGGTTTAGGGTGATGGTGGCACCAGCCCTAAACCTTGAGTTGTTATCATCTCAGAAAATTGAGCCTCAATCAGGGGGCTGATGGAGAGCCATCTCCTGTCGGCACAGGTGTGCGCTGTGGACACACCTCTTTGCCCTGATGATGCCGGCGCTGCAGCCGCTGTGGATGGGTGTTTGTGGCTCTTTCCAAATGGATTCATTTCGTAGGCCTTTTCTGAGCACACTTGCCTACAGTGACACCTCCTCTGCTGCCTAACGGGTTCACGAGGCAAACCCGTCCCGTGTGGGAACCGGGGGAAGGGATGGCTGCCCGTTCCTGTGGGCCCCGGGGTCTGTTAAAATCCTGGTCCTCTCCTTCCCTGGGTCCGGAGCAGCCGCGCTGGACCTGCGATTCTGTCACACCCCTGGCCGCCCTGGAGGACCCGGAGCTGAGGCCGGGCGCCAGGTTCCATGCTGGGGACACGGATGCCAGGCCCATCCCGAGAAGAGAGCAGCAGGGCACGTCCTGGGAAAACCACGCCCTTGGAGAGCGCAGAAGCGGCTTCATGCAGAGACGGTTGGCATGTTCATCCTAAACCTGAGCTTCAAGCGTCTCTGCCTACCCTGGTGGCATAACTTGGACCCAAACCCTAACACGTGCTCCCACTAGGGTGGCGGCTGAGACCCAGATGTTCCATTCAATTGTCTTCTCAGGAGGAAACGAGAAATGCTGGCAAGCGCCAGGCTGCCGTAGTCACAGGGTCCGGACACCGAATCCACTGGGTTCCAGACGAGCTGGTTTGGGCTGAGAGCGTCTAATGCATCAGAACTAAGTGATCACTGGGTGGTGAGATGGCCCTAAAAATGCCTTCCTCCCCCAGCCAGCGTGGCTCAGGGGCTGCGCAGCCATCTATGAACCAGGAGGTTACATTTCGATTCTGGTCAGGACACAGGCCCGGGTTGCTGGCTCAATCTCTAGTGTGGGGCGGGCAGGAGGCAGCTGATCAACGATTCTCCTCACTGACTAGAGGCCGGTGCACGAAATTCGTGCACGGTTAGGGTCCCTAGGCCTGGCCGGCGATCTGTGAGGCAACCAGTGGGGTGAGGGGGTGGGGGCCCTGTTGGCACCCTCCTTGGCTGGACTAGCGCCACCCACTCACCGGCTTCAGCCCCTGCCACCACTGGGGCCTGTGGGCTGGGGGCAGCTCCTGTGCTGAGCATCTGCCCCCTGGTGGTCAGTTCCTGTCATAGCAACTGGTTGTTCCATCATTTGGCCAATCTGCATATTAGGCTTTTATTATATAGGAAGTTTCTATCTCTCTCCCTCTCCCTTCTTTTCTGAAATCAATTTTTAAAAATATTTAAAAAAAACACACCAAAAAGCAAAAATCTTGTTGGACCCTAAACCAATGGATTTTTGTTGTAAATGAATAGTTGCCTTCCTCACCAGAGAGAAGCTGGGTCTTCGCCTCCGTGGGCGGAGCAGTGTGGACAAGAATGACCAGACTCCCTCTGCCTGTGCCCCAAGGGAGAACGCGGTGGAAGGTGGGAGGCTGAGGGGAGCTGGAGCAGGGTGGGCGGACGCTGCAGAGACCACAGGGACCTCGTGTGCTTCCTGCTTACGCGGTGGTGCGGGGAGACCGGCCTGGGGCCCAGGCGCCCGAGACCGTGTGCACTGCTGACGGGGAGACAGACAGGGCCGTGGAGCCAGCACGTCCTTCCTGCCCGCTACCCTTTCTGTGATGAAATACTCCGCTGTGCTGTCCCTGGGCTAAGCCGAGGGCCGGCTCCAGAGCCGGTCATCCAGTGGCAAACTCGCCACCGATTCCAGGGACCACGTGTGCCCACAGTGCACCCGCCGAGCACCCCGTGCACCCCAGTATAGCTAGAAACGGGGCTGGCCCCGCGCACTGACCTTCTCCTGGTACAGCCTGTGCAGCCAGGCCGAGCACTGGTCCTCCTCCTCTGGCACCTGCTCCAGGGGGATCCGCCTGCAAGGAGAGGGGAGAGCTGGGCAGGGCCTGGCACGACTGCAGAGTGGAGGGGAGTCTCTGGCTGCCCGCAGGCGCTGAGGCCGCGGAGGGTCCCTCGGCTGCTGGGAAGCGGGCAGGGGACCCACATCCATGCCGGGGACACACTGGCGGAAGGCAGTCACGGCCACAGGGAAGGACCAGGGGACGGGGCCTCTCCTCTCCCTCCGTGGAGGGCAGGCTGCCCGGTTTCCACAGGAGGCCGCCCAGGACACAGACGCTGGCTGACCACGCAGGGCCCGGGCAGGACGGCAGACTGACTCTGCAGGGATCCGCCGACACAGGGGCATGGGCCGGGGGAACCGATGCTCCCGGGGGAACCCGGGGCCCCCGCTCGGGGCTCAGGAGGCCCAGTGGGTGCTGGCAGGTGCTGGGTGCGGGTGGACACCTCTATTTCTCACTGAGGGGCCTGCACAGGGAGGGCAGTGTCCACCACGAGGCCTCCCGGGGGCAGGGCGCGAAGGGGGCTGTCAGCAGGGCTCCCCACCCCGGCCCCGCCAGCCTGGGGCCAGGAGCTGAGGACGCGGGGGCAGATCTCGCCTCACGCGGGGCCTCCTCTGTGTGTGTGTGTGTGGGGGGGCTGCTCGCCCCTCCTAGGCCTCAGCACTGGGTGACAAGGCGGCGGCCCCTGCAGGCTCACAAAGGGAACGGCAGTCCCTGTGACGCTTCTTCCCTGTTTAAGGGGAACCAGAGCGGCTCGGAGACAGGAGACGTGTAACTGGGCTGTGGGTGCACGGTGTGTGTGTGGCACCGGGAGGCCCTGACACGATGACCAGCCCTACAAGGGCTGAGCGCCCTCCCGCTGAGGGCGCTCAGACATTCTCTCAGTCCACCGCCAAACCCAGCCCCGAGCCCGCCCCGCGGGCCCCGCGGGGGCCTTGATGCATGACTCACACGCTCTTTCCGTTGTTCCCGCTGTTCCTGACAACGTGGCGGGGCCGGGCCTGACCCTTCCGTAAGCCGCTAAGAGGGACTGACCCTGCTGTCTCACACCGGGGCATGTTGTCAGTAAAACTGCTCAGGCCCAGGCCACGGCACACGGGAGAGGCCACGGCATGTGCACGTGTCTGTGTACGTGTGCGTGGTGCACACATCCTCCAAGAAGGGGTCCACGGAACAGCCCTCGCACACGTCTCCACACGGCTGTGCACACTGACGCCGTGTGTCCGCCGGAGCCCCACGGCCAGGAGCTGGGAGAGGACCGGGCGGAGCCCTCACTGGGCACTGACGGTGGATAGTGGGTGTCCCGTGAGGCCATCACGTGACTGCAGGGGAACACGCCTGGTGCAGCACAGGCTGCGGAGCCGGGCATCGGGCAAGTCCCGGAAGCAGGGCCGTGGCCTGTGATGTGCTCACTGAGGGGGCGTGGCCTCTCACCTGACATACATGTCTGCGTGGTATTTCTTTCCGTTCAGGACGCCCAGCAGGGTGGGGTTTTCATTGTTTCTGAAATTGAGTGTACAGTCATATACAGCTGAAACTATAAAAATAAAACAGATACAGAGCAGTATAGAGCGTGTGAGCCCAGTCTGGATTCGTAGACACACACACGGGAAACAGTGATCAGAGCGCGAGTGGGTTGTGGGGGCGGGCCTCGGGCTCCTCCCTGCGCCTCCCCGTCCTGCCACGGCCTACGTGACCGCGTGGCCCATGTGACCACGTGGCCTGTGTGACCGTGTGGCCACGTGGCCCGTGTGACCGCGTGGCTCTATGTGACCGTGTAGCCCATGTGACCGCGTGGCCCGCGTGACCGTGTGGCCCGTGCGACCGCGTGGCCCATGTGACCGCGTGGTCCATGTGACCGAGTTGCCCGTGTGACTGCGTGCCCATGTGACTGCGTGGCCTGTGACCGCGTGGCCCGTGTGACGTGTGGTCCATGTCAGAACCAGCGGCACCAAGGCCGTCGCGGGAACCGGAGGCTCACGGAGGCCGGACGGTGCAGAGCATGTCCGCCGGGGCGGCCCCCCGCCCGGCCGGGCAGCGGTGAGAGGGAGCCCTCCAAGCAGACTCACGCCGTGGCATGCCGAGCGCTGGCAGTGCCCCCACCCCCAGGAGGGCGGCCAGGAGACTGAGACCCCGGGGTCCCTAAGGGACTGCACTGCAGAGCGGGAAACATGGCTGAGAATCCAACAAGAACGGGGCTCTGTCCGCCCCGGCGGCCGCCCCACGGAGCCTCGCTTCCTCCCCACCACCGACCCTTCCCAGGGGCTGCACGGGGCCGGGAGACCGGGCCCAGGCCGGAGCCCGGCCGCGTGGACAGAGCACGTGCCACGGCCGTGTCTCCCTCCGGCCGGCGCCCAGCCTGGCCCTGCACAGCCAGCGGCCAGGCCCTCGGCCCTCCCGGCCCGCGGAGACAGGGCAGGGTGGGCGGGCTGGCGGCAGGGAGAACGGGGTTCTAACGGAGGGCCGCTGAGGAGGACACAGGAAGTTCTGACAAGAGACGGGGACAGCACTGCTCCTCCCTGTGCTCACCGAGCCCAGGGCCCCAGGCAGGTGACCGGACACGGCGCAGCATCAGGCGACGGAGCAGGAAATGCAAAGCCAAACAACCCCCTGGGCCCTGGCTGGTGTGGCTCAGGGGATAGAGCATCGGCCTGCGGACTGAAGGGTCCTGGGTTCGATTCTGGCCAAGGGCACAGGCCTGGGTTGCAGGCTCAACCCCCAGTAGGAGGCAGCCGATCAATGATTCCCTCTCATCATTGGTGTTTCTCTCCCTCTCCCTCTCCCTTCCGCTCTGAAATCAATAAGAAAAAGAAACAAACAGAAAACCACCAGCTGGTCTAACTGGGAGGACAGGGTGTGGGCCACACTGAACACAGGATCCCCACGGCCACGGCCCTGCAGTACTGGTGCCAAGCAGCGGAGGGCAGTGTTGCCTCGGGGGGGGGGGGAGGGAGAGAGAGGGGCTGTGCTCAGGCAGGCAGGCAGGCAGGCAGCGGCCACACCTCCACGCCGCTGGCCACCAGGCAGGTGCAATCCTTGCCCCCCACCCCCTCCCCCGGCTGAACCGTGAGCCGGACGCCGGCCCCGGGCAAAGCCGTGCGCGCGGCGCGGGCTCCCGTGGCCGGTGGGGAGCGGCGGCTCCTTACCCACGCCCCGCAGGCTCCTCACGGTGACGGCGAAGCCCTTGGTGCGGGGCAGCAGGTGGTGCTTGAGGCTGGGCAGCCCCTTGGCCTGGGCCACCTGCATGCTGATCTGGTGCTTCTTCTCCGTGAAGCGCGTCCCCTCGCAGTGGATCAGGAACTGAGGGACAGACAGGGGTCAGGGACAGACAGGCGGGCTGGTCACCCCGCAGGCCTCGCCCACCCCGCAGTCACATCCCCCGCAGGCCCCGCCCACCCCGCAGTCACAGGCAGGGACCCCGGTCACACCCGCAGGCACCACCCCACCCCTCGCAGAGTCACACACAGGGACCTTTGGGCGTGGCCGGGGGGGTGGCCTGGCAGCTGTGCCCACCTGTCCTCAGGGTGAACCCAGAACCCGCCACCCTCCACTGACAGCTCAGGGCAGGACACCTGGCTGCCAGGGTGTGTGTGTGTGAGTGTGTGTGTGTGTGTGAGAGAGGGGGGGGGGGGCATCCTGAGTGTGTGTGTGTGTGTGTGTGTGTGTGTATCAGAGAGAGGGCATACTGAGTGTGTGTGACAACAGCATCCCAGGGTTTCCTGCCGCACAGTAAGTTCAGGTGAAGGACAAAGCAGCGTACGCACAGTGGGCAGACACACATGCGCACAGTGGGGCGGGCGGCGTGCGCACAGTGGGCAGACACACATGCGCACGGTGGGGCGGGCGGCGTGCGCCCGGTGGGGCGGCCTGCGGGGGCGGCCGGGCTCACGTACGAAGTACTTCTCGGGGTAGTCCCGCAGGTGCAGCAGGCTCCGGGACACCGTCTTGCGGTCCTGCTCCCACTTGCGCGTGCAGAAGACCATCTCGGTGAAGTACCACATCCAGCCGATGATGGGCACGTAGGCCAGCTCCTTCTTGGCCAGCACCTTGGAGCCCTGAGTGGACGGAGGGTCCGGGTCAGGGGGGCGGGAGAGGGAGCTCCCAGAAGAGGAGGCGTCACTGTTCGCCCCGGGGCCGAGGGGGACAGTCCGGGGCTCAGGGGGCGGGGCCTGTCTGCCTGGTGGGGGGGCAGCGGCGGCCCTGGGGGAGGGTGTGGAGCAGGCACAGGGACAGGCACAGGGACAGGCAGGACGGGTGGCCCCGGAGGCCACTGGCCCAGGCTCTGCAGTGACCGCCTCCCACCCGCTGAGCCATCAGGAGCTGTGACCTCCTCCAAGCCCTCCGCCCTCTCTGTCCTCAGCTGAGCCGCCTGCGGGGCCCATGCTGCCACCTCCATGGCCCCGGCCAGGCCCACCGGGCTACGGAGTGGGGAGGCCCGAGGCCTGAGGCTGCCCCCAGCAGGTGGCGCTGTGGAGGCTGGCCGGCAGCGTCCCAGTCGGTCCTTGGCTCTCCAGGTCCCATATTTCTACTAACACCATGGAGTCTGAGCGGGACCTGTGCGGACTGGAGGGCGCGGTGTGGCCGGCGGCCTGCACGCTGGCCTGGGGGGGGGGGTGAGGGCACTCCCCGGGCACACACGGCTCACAGCCGCTCTCGCGCAGGGTAAGGCCCATTGGTGGGGGGGGGCCCAGTGCTTCCTCCTCTCTCTGCCCTGGGGGAGCCAGATGCCAGGCCCAGGGACACCCGGGGGGCCTGGGAGGGCAGGTCAGACACACAGTCCCCGAGGTCCGAGGGCGGGTGTGGGGGCAGCTCCGTGGGGAGCCGTGGGGTGAGGGGAGGGGGCCGGACTCAACCATGACACGCCTGCCAGGCCCCCGGGCCGCGCCTGAGTCAGGCCCTGGGTAAGGGAGCCCCGCGGCTTCTCCAGAGACCTTAACAGCCCAGCGGCCGGCCAGGCAGCCACTCCTCCGGAGCCCTGACGAGCAGCCGCTGTACGGAGTGCTCAGCCCAGTGGACAGCTCCGAGGGCCCCCCGGGCCTCCCGCACGCCGCTGGGCAGAAAGACGGCTCCCAGACCTGGGCCCCGGGCACACGTGGCGCTGCTGGCACGTCCCTGACCCGTCCAGAGCCCGCAGGCCCCGCCCCGACGGCAGCAGCCGTCGGCGTACGTCTGAGATCATGGCCGAGCCCGGCCCCGCGGTGAAGGCGCCGGGAGACCGCCAGGCCCACGCGGCCCCGGACGCTCACGGAACAGCCCACGCCCACGCGTCCCTGCGGATGCCAGTCGCTCCCTGGAAACCCCTCCCTCTCGGCCGCTCCCTGGGAGATGCAGGCGCCTCCGCCTCTGAAAAGAGGGTCCCCCTCCTGCGTTCCACGTCAGAGAAACCCTTCTGAGAACCGCAGCGCATGCAGCTGAGCCGTCACCGCTTCGGCAGACGGAGCGACCGAGCCAAGGGCAAGGCGGGCGCACGCGGGCGGTGCGGGGGCGTCCGACTCACCCCCAGGACCCCGAAGCGCTCGGCCAGGCTCCAGCCGCAGAGGAAGTCGATCTCAAACTTGTGGTTCAGAACCACGATGGCGCTCTCCTCCCCGAAGCAGGGGTAGGCCCGGGGGTCGGTGTAGATGACGCACTCCGTGCCCGACCACCACTCCAGCAGCATCACCAGCTCTGCAACAGACGAGGGGCCGCTTACCCCCGCACCTCGGCCGGCCGGCCGCGGCCCAGGCCGGGAGGGGGCTGGGCCAGGCTCGGACCCCCCCCCCCCCCCCGCCCCGAGGATGGCTCCAGGACCCTCCAGGGCAGAGAGGAAGGAGCTTTGAGAAGACAGTCCCTCTCCTGTCTGCATTAAGTTCCTCGGGGAAAAATAAATCAGAAAGCCCGACACCATCAAGGATTCATGCCGTGTACAGAGCTCCGAGAGGCAGCCTGAAATGGTGTATAGATTCTTAATATTCCGGGAGGGGACTGATTGGGATACTTCTACACGCCATCAGAGGACCTGGGGCCACCCACGTTTTCTCCCTGCCCAAGGCCAGGCCAGACCCCTACACACACGCTCCCCAGCCCCTCCGTAGTGCCTGTCCCAGCCCGGATGCAGCCTGAGAGTGTGTCCCTGCTGTGGACAAGCCCGGCAGACAAGGACTGTGCTGCATGGTCCCCTAACCCAGCTCAATTCCAGGACCCAGAACGGTGCTCTCAACACATCCGGGACCTACTGTGTGCAGGCAGGGACCTACTGTGTGCAGGCGGGGACCTACTGTGTGTGGGCGAGGACCTACTGTATGCAAGCGGGGACCTCCTGTGTGCGGGCAGGGACCTACTGTGTGCGGGCAGGGACCTACTGTGTGCAGGCGGGGACCTCCTGTGTGCGGGCAGGGACCTACTGTGTGCAGGGGACCTACTGTGTGCGGGCGGGGACTACTGTGTGCGGGCATGCAGTGAGGGACCGGGAGTGACAGCAGGTGGAACATCAGGCTGCTCCCCTCCCGGGCCTGCTGTGAAGGGACAGGAGACACCTGTCCTAGGACGGAGGGGTGCTGAGCGTCAGACACATGCCGGCTGCAGCCAGGCCTATTTCTCTGTCCCCTTCGCGTCCGCGTCCTTGTCTATACATAGGGTCAGGAGGAGCTTGGAGAGATGCCGTGGACTGTGCAGAGACGCTGCCCACAGCAGGTGACCACTGAGCAGCGCCTGGGGTTTACAGCACAGGAGGCTGTGGTCCCTGAAGGGGGCGGAGTGGGGCGGGGAGAGACAGGGGCAGACAGAGGGATGGTTTCCTAATGGAGCCAGTGAGCTGTCACTGCCCAAAGCACAGTTTGCCTTCTGGAAAGATCTCTCTGGCTAAGGGGGAAAGGGGCATCTACACGCTGGTGGGAGGAGCTGGGCAGAAGCGGGAGGTCCGCTGGGCGGGGCCTGGGTGCAGGGATGTTGCTGGGCCCCGGTGACAAGGGAGGGAGGCTGTGAGCGGCCCACCACTCTCGTGGACACTCCCAGGGCGGACGCCCTGGCTTTTACCCCCACCCCCCCCCCCCTGCCGTGGCCGCCATTATATTCTGGCCCCAGAGCAAACCTAAATGGACGTGTCAGCAGTTGTTCAAAGCAGAGGAGGGGGTTGCCGAGGACATGGATAGGGAGTGGCTGCCTCCTCCCACGCGGGCGGTGAGATCTCAGGGTTTCCCGGGAGGCAGGGAGCACAGCCCTGGGCCCGCCCGACAGCAGCCCTGGAGAACCTCCCAGAAACCGGTGCCTCCCATCGCGGCCCCCCTCCCTCGGTGCTCCCCCTCGGTGCTCCCCTCCCTCGGAGCCTGAGGGCAGGAGCGCCCGGAGAGCACGCGGGTCAGGGGGGCCAAGCCCCTGCGGGAAAGCTCTGAGACCCTGCATGTCAGCACGTGTCAGCGCCGGGCTCCGCAGGTGCAGAGTGCAACAAAGGAAGATGGCATTTTCACACCTGCCTTTATCTGATTTTAGTAATTACATGATCACACACATAATTGTGTCCTCTCTACCATAAGTGCACATAACTAGGGATTTATAATAGCTTTCTATAGTGTAACTTTCCACCGACAATTATTTAGGTTAACAATTAAATCTCCTCCTCAGAGAACTCCTACATGAACACCAGGACGTCTCTGGCCCAGGCACACTGTCCACGCCCGGCCCTGCGGGCACTGCCCTCCTGCAGGCCGCCTCAGCCCCGGCGCCCAGGCCCTCGGCCCGCACAGAAATGGGAAAAAGAGCCACTTTGGGAGCTTCCGGCAGCTCCGGCCCAGCAGGTGGGCAGCTCGGCCCCCGGAGCCTCGGGGACACACGGGTGTGGAGCTAATGGCAGGGCACCTCTCCCGTCTGGCATCTGCAGGGTCTGGGGTCCCGGTCCGGACCCTGCCCGCTGCCCCTCAGGAAGGCGTGGAGGCAGCCAGGCCCCGCCTGCTGGAGGGGTTCTCCGTGCCAGGCCAGCCAGGCCAGCTTCTCACTGCTCCCCGCACCCACTCCCGGCCACGCCCACCTATCCCTGCCCTCGGGGCACCCCTCTCTGGCTCCACACCGGCGGTTCCCTGAAATCTCAGGTCCCAGGACGGATACGCCTCCTGACTGTGCTCTGCACACCTGCGCGCTGGCTTGGCCTCCGTTCTAGACGGCTTCCTGCTGCTTCCCTCCTGGACAGCCAGTTGCAAGGAGGTGGCACTCCAGCCAGCCAGCCAGTCCTCCGGCTGCCCCCACATGCCCGGCCCCGCCCACCCTGACAGAGTGCCGGCCTGCGGACTGGAGGGTCTGGGCCCGTCTGGAATGTGCAGTTCAGCGAGGACAATGCCTGGGACATGCAAACAGCAGGTGCCCGATAAGTGCTTGCCGAGTGGAATCGAAGGGCCTCGCAGTTGGAATGTGCTTTTCATGATGGGGTGCAGGTGAGCCACGGGAGGGGGAGGGGGAAGAGACTCCAAACAGCCCCCCACCCAGGAGGGAAGCCTTAGCCAGCACTGGCCTGTGGGCCTGGCTGCACCCCAACCTTCCCTGGCTGCATCCTGACCCCGCCGCCTCTGGGTGGGGGAGGATCTGGTCCTGTCGGTCAGGGGCTGCTGGGACCGCAGCACAGGAACAGTCACACCCATGAGCATCCGCCCAGAGGGGCGGCCACCCTATCTGGCACCTGATGCTCCCGGTGAGCAATGACTCACACCCTGGCTGGATGACGGCCGGCCTGCCGCCTCCCTCCTGCGTCCTCTCACTGCCCCCCCACCCCGGCTGCCCCCGGCCAAGCCACAACGGCCCCCTGGGAATGGCCGGTCAGGGCCGGTCAGCTGCCCACGCCCTGGAGGCCCTGCTCCCACAGCTCCTTCCTGTGAGGTGGCCTCCGTGTTCATTCATTCACCGGCCTCTGGAGGGGGCCGCTCCGCGGACAGCGCGGCGCTGGCTGCACAGAGCGGCCCTGACCACCTGGCGCTGCCCGGGGGTCTGCTCCTGGCGGCGATGGGACAGCCCGGCCAGAGACGGTGCCCGGCCAGAGACGGTGCCCGGGCACGGCACGGCCTGGGCAGAGCACAGGGCCAGGGCGGGTGGGCAGAGCTCTGGGTGGAGCGGAGGAGCAAGGCGAAGGCCCATCGTCAGGACATCGGGCGCCTCACACCCTCCTCTGGACGCAGCCACGGAGTCCCACGTTCCCGTTCTGCCTGGCTGGCGGCCACCACTGGTTACGTGGGGGCAAAGCCAGCCCACAGCCTCCTCACGGGAACACCGGGCAGGCCCCACGGCCCCAGCACAGAACCCTGACACCCCAACACCCCGCCAACGCCACGGAGAACAGCTGCCTGGACCCCGACTTCTAACCACGCATCTGACCTCTGGAGGGGGGGACAGTGCAGACACAGCCTGTCAGACTGCAGGCTGAGGGCCTGGAGGGGGGTGAGGTGACAGGAGTGCAGGTTTCAGTGACGGTGCCGTCACTCAGCTCTGTGGGTTTGCCTTCCTTTAAACAGACGCCCCCGCCGGAGCAGAGAAGACGCTGAAATTACCGGGTAAGACAGTGCCTCCCTCTCCTGTGCCAGCCCTCCCCCTGCCGGGCCGCCGCCTCTGCCTGCTCGACGGGCGCGCCTTTCCCCTCACGGAGACGCCGAGGACCGGGGCCGTGTCAGCGGAGCCTGTGACGGGCACCCATGGCCGAGGGGCCCTTTTTTTCTAAGATGTTTTTATTGACTTCGGAGAGAAGGAAGAGGGAGAGAGAGAAATATCAACGATGAGAGAGAATCGCCGATCGGCTGCCTCCTGCATGTCCCCCGCTGGGGATCAAGCCCACAACCTGGGCGTGAGCCTCTGGCCAGAATCAAACCCGAGACCTTCCAGTCCACATGCTCTATCCACTGAGCCAAACCAGCGAGAGCCATGGTTGGCAAACTGCGGCTCGCAAGCCACATGTGGCTCTTTGGCCCCCTGAGTGTGGCTCTTCCACAGAATATCATGGGCTGAGTGAGTCTGTTTTGAAGAAGTTTTAAAAATGTGGCTCTCGAAAGAAATTTCAATCGTTGTGCTATTGATATTTGCCTCTCCTGACTGATGAGTTTGCCGACCACGGAGCTAGGGCATACTCTCTCATCATTGAGGTTTCTCCCTCTCCTTCTCCCTCTCCCTTCCTCTCTAAAACCAATAAAAAATATATATATTTTTTTAAAAAGAATAAGGATTTCCTATCATTCTTTCTCAAGACATTCTCATGAGTGTCTTGAGGTTTAAAAATAATGGATTGGGTCCACAGTAATCCATCTGGACACTGTATGCAACTTTTATTGTCTTGATTCAAATTCAGATTGGATTGCTTCCTCTAAAGGGTTTCAGAATGACAGCAATTCTTGGCATCATCTAAGATTGCAGAGATTTTTAAATGGCTTAATTTGAAAGAGCTCATATTTTCAAATACATACACACCAATAGATATATTTGCTACTGATGAACTACATTTTCTACTGTGGAGAACAGGTAAAGATTTAAGGTCCATCAACTATAAAACCCATTGCTAGACTCCCCATTATTCTGATCTGTCTTTTCCATGTTCATTTTTGAAATTCAGGCTACTTAAATTAGTCATGTTTTAATAGTCCAGTATAATCAAGCACGTGCATACACACACACACACACACACACACACAGGAATGCTATAAAATGGAAAATCTGAATACGGTTGGTGGATTGTGTGAATGCTAATTTTCTTGTTGGGATACTACACTATGGTGTTGAAGACATTATCATCGGGGAAAACTGGCTGAAAGGCACATGGGATCTCTCGATATTATTTCTTACAACTGTATGAAAATCTCAAATCATCTCTATATATAAAAGGCTAATATGCAAAGTGTCCCCTCGGGAGTTCAACTAGAGACCAGGAGTTGGATCGCTCACTATGACATGCACTGACCGCTAGGGGGTGGCACAGAATGAAGAAAAGGCCAGTGGGCAGCCAAAAGGCCCTGATCGCTGGCCAGGCCTAGGGATTCTATCCGTGCACAAATTTCGTGCACTGGGCCTCTAGTTTCAAAATATAAAGTTAAAGAAGCAAGAAAAAGAACAATATATTAAATTGCCATTTAGCTTTTCAAATATGTGTTTGCATCATCTATCTACACACATCAGATACTCACCTGCACCCGCACACTCACCGGAGGCCCATGTTTCCATACACATGCATTCCTGTAGGCACAACTAAGAAATCAAACACCAATGCTTCCTGAGAGGAAATCTAAAGAAACACAGAATGCACCTTGACTCTGCGTAGGATACCTCTGTGCCTGCTGAATGGTGTGCCACTGGCGTCACTCATTCAGAAACCAATAGGTTGCTGAAATCGGTTTGGCTCAGTGGATAGAGCGTCAGCCTGTGGACTGAAAGGTCCCGGGTTCGATTCCGGTCAAGGGCATGTACCTTCCTTGGCTGCGGGCACATCCCCAGTGGGGGGTGTGCAAGAGGCAGCTGATTGATGATTCTCATCGATGTTTCTAACTCTCTATCCCTCTTTCTTCCTCTCTTAAAAAATCAATATATTAAAAAACAACAACAAAAAAACACCAATGTGTTAAGAGCGAGGACAAAATAGACCACTTCAAGCCACATCCAGACAAACAGAAGCAAATACATATGTGGCACAGTGCACAGTGCGAGCCCAGTGACCTGTAAGAGCCTGTTTGCAGAGCCGGCCGCAGGGAGAGGAGGGAGAAGAGGGAGGAGAGAGGAGGGAGAGGGGAGGGAGGAGGGAGGAAGGGATGAGTGGGAGGGGAGGGAGGAGGGAGGAGCGGGAGGAGCACGCTTACGGCTGGACACGCAGTAGGACAGCCGGCAGTTGAGCCTGCGGAAGAGCTGCCGGTCGAAGGGCCAGAGGGGGAGCGTGAGCAGCTGCAGGGCGTTGACGATGAGCCCCGAGGCGATGAACACGTAGCAGAAGACCAGGTGGCACAGGAACTGCGACTTCAGCAGCCCCACGAGGTCCATGGCGAGGCCCCTCCACGGCCACGCGGTCTCCCCGGGAAGCAGGAAGCAGGAAGCAGGCCGGCCTGGGAGCCTAGAGACAAGCCAGCGAGAGAGCCGTCAGGGACGCGACCGCTTTTCTGCCTGAAGGTGGCGTGAGCGAGTCTCAGACGGGAAGGGAGCGGAGCAGGAGAGCCATGATCCCAGGATCAACAGGCTGCCTCCTGCACCCCCTCCTGGGGTCGGGCCCAGGGCCCAGGGCCCCGCACGTGGCCTGACCAGGAACCCAACAGGGACCTGCTCCTGGGCCAGGCTCAGCCGAGCCACGCCCCTGGCGCACGGCTGTTCCCAAGGGGAGAAAGGAGGAAGCCTCCGCGGTGGGACGCCTGTGGTGGGCTGACTTGGCCTTGTGCAGCCTTCTCACTGCTGGGCCGGCGCCGCCTCTCCAGGACACGGGCCCCTCCGGCTGCCGGGCACCGGGCTGGAGACCGGGCGGCAGGGCCAGAGTCCCTGCACCGAAGGGACCGGTTAGGTCCGATCCCCCGCCCACAGGGTCCCCGGACTCGCTCTGAGGGCCCGTTCCTACTGTCAGCAGAACAGAGCGACCGGCCATAGCGTATCAGGAGCCTGAAGCTGTTCACGGAGAACGGCTCCTCTTTATCCCCAGGAGGGGAGGAGCGGAGAATCAGCCCTCGCCGGCCCCGGGCATTCCGCAGTCCTCCGGATCCGTCTTCCTGTCTTTCTTCTTTTCTCCCTTCCCACCTCCCTCCCTCAGTCCCGTTCGCCGCCAGCACCCTGAGCGGGAGGGTCCGAGGCCCCAGAGGCTGAGCGGGCGGGTCCCCAGCTCCTCCTCCGAGAAGCCCGGCCCTGGGCTCCGGCCCTCAGCCCGCCAGCGCCTGGCGCCAGTGGGAGTGTCCGCATTTCTGGGGTCTGACCAGCTGCCCTCTCTGCCCAAGCGTTCTCTCCCCAACACCCTCACCTCCCTCCCACCCCTCTCCCCTCACCTCCCACCCCTCACCTCTCACCGCCCACCCACCTCCCCCCCCTCACCCCCCACCCCCCCACCCCCCACCCCTCACCTCCCACCGCCCACCTCTCACCCCCCACCTCCCACCTCCCACCCCTCACCTCCCACCCCTCACCTCCCACCTCCCTCCCCTCACCTCCCACCCCTCACCTCCCACCCCCCACCTCCCTCCCCTCACCTCCCACCCCTCACGTCCCTCCCACCCCCCACCCCTTCCCCCAGCTTGGCTCAAACGCTGCTCCTCCTAGAAGGACCGCCCCGAGCTCACACCTGCTCTGGGCGAGGTCGGGTGACCTGGGGCTCCACCTCCAGGGCTCCGGACGGGGGTGCCCTGCGTACCCCTCACCAGGCACCCACCCGCTGCCACGCTCCGGGCACACGCTCTCCCCGGAGTCTCGGGTGTAAACTGAGGCCGCTCAGCCCCCAGCGGGGGACCTGGAAGGGCGAGGGGAGCGGGGCGATCGATGCGGCTGGATTTTAAACCTTCTCTTTCTCTGATGCTCAGAGAGATGCCAGCGGGCCGGCCATTTCCCTGCCTTGATTCATGCCTAATGGGCCGGGGAGAGAGTTATTAGAAAACAAATGCTCTTGGATGCTTTCCGGGCATGAATCATTGATGGGGCCGGGCTGCTGGTGTGAGGCCCAGATTAGCTGGCCTCGTTTCTGGGGGTTGGGGGGGGTGGACCGCAGACACTGCGGCTCAGGGACGAGGGGCCTCTGGGGCCAGGACTGGCTGTTCCTGAAAAGTCTCGTTAACGACGGCCTGCGCTCCTCTTCCCAGCTTCAGTCCGGCTCCTGAGGCAGACGGGGGACAGCTATTCTGGGACTCCTGCGGACGCGCATTAATCCACCGGTAATTGTGTTCATCCATCGCCTGTCCTCGAAGCTACCCGGTCGGCCATTCAGTTAAAAATTCATGGCCCGGCCAGTGTGGCTCAGGGGCTGAGCATCGATCGACCTGTGAACCACGAGGCCACGGGTTCCATCCCCGGTCAGGGCACATGCCGGGGGTGCAGGCTCCATCCCAGCAGGGGGCGTGCAGGAGGCAGCCGATCCATGATTCTCTCTCATCGTTGATGATTCTCCCTCCCTCTCCTTTACTCTCTGAAATCAATAAAAATATATTTTTAAAAAAAGATCCATTCATTAAAAAAAAAAAAATTGGTTAGTTCTTACTCATTGTTTCAGCCCGAGTCACACCGCCCATTGGACTTCTGAGAGGGAGCCTCGGGCATGCTCAGAGCTGCCCTGTGCAACGAGGGGGAGCACCATGCCCCCCCACCTCCCGCCCCCGGGACCACAGCCCTTCCCGAGGATACTTCCAGAACCCCCCCCACTTCTTCCAGGGTAAGTAGGTGTCAACACACACTGACTCCAGTGGAGTCTCCAGATCCCCTGATACATCTCATCTCCATCCAATCACTGACTAGAACCGTCTACAGAGGGTCGGCGTGAGCTGACAACGTCCTGGCTTCTTGCTCACGACCAGCACCGGGCAGGGGCGCAGCAATGTCTCCTCCTGCAGAGGCCACGCCGATGAGTCCGCACGATGCCCTCTGGACGGGCGAGCCCGGCCCAGAGCCCTCTCCCGCCAACACGGACAGGGCGCCGCGCGGGGCGGTTCGCCCGGGCACCAGTGAGCGACACGGAAGCAAGCGGCCGGCCGAAGCCCAGCACGGGGCTCGGGTGTCGCCTGGGCAACGGAGTCACCGTTCCTTCCCGTTAACACAAAGAGCTTCCTGTTAAAACACCGATCTGGTGGACGGAAAGGAAATGGCACCCACTGAGCCTCGGGGTCTGTGAAGGTAACTCCCGCCACTATAACAGCATTCCACGTTCGTCATGTGACAGCTGTGAAGGCCCCACCCCGGCCGGTGTGGTCCAGCGGGTGCGTCGGCCTGCGAACCAGGTCACGGTTCGATTCGGGCCAGGGCACACGCCGGCGTTGCGGGCTTGACCCCCAGAAGGGGGCGCGCAGGAGGCAGCAACTGACGTTCTCTCTCTCCCCCTCTCCCTTCCTCTCTGAAACCAATAAAAACAAATGTTGGAGGGGGAGGGGTTGAAAGGCTCTAAAATGCAGCGTGTTAGCCTGAAACCGCCCTGACATTGGGCTCCGTTCTCCCGGCCTCCTCTCTTCGCCAGAAAAGCCACTGCGGAGACGTCTTGCTTTAAATAGAGGCGAGCTCTCATATTAGATCAATGCCAGCGTCCTTCCCCAACCTTCAGCGAGAGCGCTTCCCCGTCCCCCACGTCACACCCATGTTCCGTCATCAGCGTGTTACTGTGGCGTCGCAATCCGCAGAGGGCCAGGTTATGAGGACCTCTGAGCGCAGAATCATCTGTAATAACCTGGCCCCTCTGTGTGTGTGCGTGTGGGTGTGCGTGTGTGTGTGTGTGTGTGTGTGTGTGTGTGTTAGAGGCCTGGTGCATGAATTCGTGCATGGGTGGGGTCCGGCCAGCCTGGCCAGGGGGAGGGGACATGGGCGGTTGGCCAGCCTGCCTACTGGTCCAACTCCTGGCCAAGGGGACAATTTACATATTAGCCTTTTATGGTATAGAAGAGACAATGAGTGGCCAGATTATGTGTTCAGAGGTCATCATCATCTGGCCACTCAGTGTATTTAGGCTTTTGTTTGTTTTTTCAGTATAAGTAATGTAATGTGTAATTATTTGAAACATAAAGCTTTACTTTTCTTTCCGATTTTTGGGTTATGGCTTTAGAATAAATTCCCAGATACAGGATCTCTGGGTTCAAGGAACAAACGTTGTAAAGCCTCCGGTACATGTGCCCACTCACTTTCTGAAGGCCTGTAGCTCGTAGCTCTTTCTGCCCTCACCAGCAACACACACACAGATACCCCCATCTCAGCACCAGCCTGCCCAACTCATTAACAAAACAAAACCAGATTAACTCTTTGTGTGCCAGAAGTCCTGTCTCGTTGCTAGATTTTGCATTTTTGGGTGGTGGACGAAGCTGGAGTTTTTAAACAGTCTGAACTGCTGCTTTTCCTTATCTTTTCTCTCTCTGTATCTATTGGTTATTCATCTCTCTATCTATAAAAAGACCTGTCTTTTTTATCTATCCTTCACTATCTCTTGCCTACAGATTTTCATTCCTGCTCATTTTGTTGACCATCTTTTGCATTTGGTTTCCCTTTTTTTTTTTTTAAGGGTTGTGCTTTTTTTTTTTTTTTAATTTTTATTGATTTCAGAGAATAAGGGAGAGGGAGAGAGATAGAAACATCAGTGAGGAGAATCACGGATTGGCTGCCTCCTGTACGCCCCCTATGGGGATTGAGCCTGCAACCCAGGCCTGTGCCCCAGGACCCTTCACTCCACAGGCCGACGCTCTATCCAGTGAGCCGCACAGCCAGGGCACGTTAGGTTTACTTTTATGCCTATCTTACTGGAGGCCTGGGATAGTATGTGAACTGTGGTTTCATTTGTGAAGTTTAGGAAGGGCTTCCTGCCACCCTGCTGCTTCCTCCTCCTCTCTCTCCCTGTGAGCGACTGCGTGGCCGTCGGGCATTCATTGTTGGCTGTGATTGGCTGTGATGCTTCGGGGGATCCACATGGATTTATTTCCAACAACTCGCCCAGCTGTCCCCCAGACACTCACTGAAAACCCTTCCCCGCTCCGTCAGTCACGCCGAAGTTTCACACGGCGGACACACACAGCGCACCTGAGCTGCTCGCTTTACCCATGAAGCCTGGCGGCCAGAGCGAGGCGGCCAGCCCCCTCGTGCAGGGTGAGGACCAGGCAAACTGCTGCCCTTCCCCTGCTCCGCGCGAGACATCCCGCCATCCTCTGTCCGCACGGAAGGAGCATGCATCCTTACGCAACCTCCAGGCGCCCTGGCAACGGGGCCTTCCGGGGAGGGCACAGCTGACCAGCGGGTTCCTGCGGGAGACCACTCCTTAGTCCTCCAGCTGAGCTTGGCCCAGCAGTCAGTTAGCTCTCGAAGGTCAGTGACGACACTCAGATCAGAGAACCAGA